AAAGCAGTCCTCCGTGCATAAAATGTGTTTTCTTTTTTTTTACTTCATGGTTTGATGTGTTCTCCGCAGATCAGGATCCATTTTATCCATTGTGAACCAGGGAGATCTTCCTGTGCTCGATAAGAACGCAAATAAGAACGCCCTGATTCACAGTTGTTCCAATATAAAATGCCATTTAATCGGTGTGTGTCCCTTCCCCTTCTGATTTCCTCCCACTCCATCCCCTTTTTTTTCCCAGGGATGGGCCGAGCCAGGTAGGGAGTCATTGCCATCTGCTGCTTCGTTGAGCTATTAGCGGTCAGGATAGTTGATGCTTTTTATTCCCTCGAATAATACGGGATGTGAGCCAAGCCATTCCTACCCATACGGGCCTCTCTTTACCCCGCGGTAATCAATACTAATCCTTGCCTTTTGATACGGCGGCTTTCACGTCAGGAGGAAGTCTCAAAGGGCTTCGCAGCACGCGTATGTGCGGCGTGCAGGAGGTGACATCAGCAGCGATCCGAGACCCGGAAGCGCTGATGGCGGGCGGTCATCTTATTTTTTTTTAGCGCCTCCCTTCCAGCGTCTGTGGCGCGTTATTTAACATCCACCTGGGAGCAGGCGAAACAGTACCTCAGTTTAACGTCTCATCCGAAGGACGGCGCCTCCGGCAATGTGTAGACGATGAGCTCGACGTCAAGATGTGGGGCTTGAACCCGCAACCGTCTGACCTGGAGGTGAGAGCGCGACCAGGCTGACACTTGACGGTGCCTCGGGAGAGATTGCCCTCCGCGTAGTAAGCCGATTGCTCGCTCGCCCGCTCTCCACTCGGGGAAGGTTGGCAATTTGTTCCAGTGTGCTATTAAATAGCTCTCAATTTTAAAAGCGTAATTTAATTTTACATCCTGAACGTAATGGAATTTATCAATCTTCCAAAGCCCGCGTCGGAATCCTTCACCTCGATAACTGCAGAAGAAACACGCTTGTTCTCGATCAGTCTCCGCCGTCCTCTCACCTGCTCGTAACACGGGCGCTCTGAGACGTGAAAGGCGCTCCCTCAGATGGCAAAGGTTATTATCGATTTATCGCTGGGTAAATAGAGCGAATCTTGAGCCAGGTGGAATTTCTGCCCTTGTATTAATAATAATAATAAATAATAATAATAATAATCCTTGCATTGATATAGTGGTTGAGCCGGCCTGAGATGTCGTCGAGACGTCTCAAAGCGCTTCACAGGCTGTACTGTAAAGTGGCTTGACTGTATATTTTGTGGGCGAACCGCGGCAGCCAATAGCGCACAGCAGCGTCCCCGCAAACAGTCGTGGAGTGAAGTGACCTAATTATTATTTTTGTACCCAGAAACGTCGTAGCCATCGCTCTCCCTCCCTCCCTCCCTCCCTCCCGGGATTGCCGAGAGCAAAGCAGGGGTCGACGACCCCTCCAAAATATTTTGAATTATTACCGACCGCCCTCGCCTGACGTGACCCTGCGGTCACTTTGCAGACGAGCTCCTCTGCCGTTTCCTGCGCTGGTGAGCGGTTCCCATCTTGACGCGTTGCCGTTAAGTTCCCTGTTGTAGCAGAAGGTTCAAGCAGCAAAAAGTCTCTGAGGAGCAGGAGCTCTGGCGAACAGTCGGTGTCTGACAGCTACCAGCACAAGCTAAACCCTCGCAGGAATCAGGCGGAGAACCACTGAAATGATCTGCATCGACCCTCCCGCCTCCACGCCAACTGCCGATACCTTGGCCATTCGACCAGTGCCTATGGTCACCTTCCCCCCCACCCCCACCCCCACCCTGGCTCGGTGTCGTGCTCTGGGACGCTGTGGGGTGCTGTGTAAATGCAAGCTCTCGTTACTCTTGTGGCTGGTCTGCGGGAACTTTGCCGGGTATTTTTGGAGAGACTTGGACTTGGCAGCTACTCCCGGTGAAGCACTTTTAGACCCTTTGACTTTTTATGTCAATGAAATGTGAAGGTTTATTGTACATAAAGTGCAACACTGTTAAATCAGACCGCCATTGGGGAATCTGGTGAAGACTGTGGGTGGGACATGTGTGTACGCGTGTGCGTCCGTGCGTGTGTGTGTGTGTGTGTCTCTCTCTCTCTTTGTATGTCTCTCGGTGTGGGTGTGAGAGTGTGTCTGTGCGTCGTTTTGTGGGTGTGTGTGTGGGTGTTCTGTTCAAGCGCTCTGAAATGCTACCCTGTGTGAGGGGCGTTATATGAATGCAAATTGTTGTTGTTGTGGTTGTTGTGTGTGTGTGTGTGTGTGTGTGCGTGCGTGCGCACGCCTGTGCCTCTTTGGGTCTGTGTGAGCGTAACTGTGGTGTGTGTGTGTGTGTCTGTGTAATTGCCAAAGCGAACAATTTTTAAACCGTGTTTCTATGAAAACGGCAATCCACAAAGTGAGAAACTACGGAGTGTTTATGAATTTGAGAGGCCTTTGATTGATAACACCACGTGATTGCCGCTGGTAACCAAGTTAAACAACCAGGAGGTGTTTCCCCATCGCTCACTCCGGTTTATACAGTGCTTCTGATACAACGATGGCCAGTGTTTGCAGCGTCAGCGAGGGTCCTCACCGCCTGAGGGGTGGGGAAGGTTGATCGTCAGTAATGGCAGCTAAGTTCCGAGTGAAGCAAAGCCTTTGGGATGTGTTGCTCAGCATCTGAAACCTTTTACCGGTTGCTCTGAGCAGAAGGGCTCTCAGCAAACAGAGGGCAGGGGAGGCATGACATGTTTACTGTGCTTATTTAAGTCTGTGTGTGTGTGTGTATATGTATGTGTACTTCTACTTGTGTGTGTGTGTGTCTATATTATATGTATATAATCGTGTGTGTATAAAAAAACCTCTATCCTCTCCCTTGTTCTGTTGCTGATCTTAAATTGGCGTCTAGTTACCGAGTCTCCTATTTAAGGTGCACATTTATACATCTCACTCAGGTAAAATGGGGAGAAATACTCTGTAGGCATTGAGTACGAGTGCACTAATGTTTGCCGTGTGCCGGGTGTGTGTACAGAGCTACGTTGGCGGAGCCCGGTACAGGGTAACACCCTGGAAACCACACTGACCTTCGCTTCTTTGCTATTCCCGGCTCCTCACTGGATCTCCCTACTCCAACCTCAATCACCTGTGCCCTTTTATATTGGTAGTTCTCCCCCTCAATGCTTAATAATAATAATCCTTCCATTTGGCACAGTGTCTTTCACATCCCGAAGGGCTTCACAGGATATACTGCAACACGTAATGACCGTGCGTTTTGAGAACGGAGGGATATAGAAGGTACAAAGCCCACGGGCTATGGTTATCGAGCTGTGGTCATTGTAGGTAGACACCCAGAACTTGTAGTAGCAACAGCGCGAGTCATCCCTCCTCTGTGACAATGCTCTTTCCCCATTCATGGCTTGGCTTTCTTTGTCATGTGCGTAGATCACAAAGTGTGTAGCATGGTGCTATAAATATTACGCTTTCTCGCTGCGAGCTTCTATTATCCTCTCTGTTAAAAAGGCACTCCAATCTCTCTCTCTCTCGCTCTCTCTTTTTTTCCATAGCATGAATCAGCTCACACATCATTGAAGAGAAAATATCCCGCTTCCCACCATTAGACCTTGAGATCAGCCGAGGCTTAGCTCAGCCGGTGTCTTGTTCTGCACAGCGACACTCGCTGATCTCGATTCCCCTTGACTTCGTGCCCACCTCAACTAATAATAATAATCTTTGCGTTCAATACAGCGCCTGATCACGTCTTTGAGATGTCTCAAAGCGCTTCACAGGATATACTGCAGAGTGAATTGACTGTGTATTTTGTGGGCGAAAGGCAGCAGCCAATTGTGCACAGCAGCTTCCCAGCAGTCACAGTAATATCCTGCGAAGCGCTTTGAGACGTCTCAAAGACGGGAAAAGGCGCTATGACGAATGCAAGGAGTATTATTAGTAAGGACACTCGGCCGTGACGAGAGGTTACAGCGGCTGAGCGTGTTCACGAAGGAGCAGACACGATGGGGAGGTTCTCTTAATAATAATAATAATAATAATAATTAATAATATCTAACTGACCTCTGCTAGAGCGAGTGGAAGAGCTGGAAATAATGGGGTCCTGGTCTCGGGGTAGGGGTGGGTGGGTGCGGAGGGGAATAGACATTTCACGTTGCACTTTATGCACTTCGTGTGGTTATCATAATCGCCAGATTTGTTTTTAACCAGGTTTCTCACACCAGCTGGTTTGCCACTGACGTTAGCCTCTTTAACACTGCGTTGAGTGTAAGTGAATCTTTCCTCTGTGTAAAGTGGACACTTTAGGCTGGAGTACGGATTAGAGCAGCAGCAGCAGAGGTTTCCCTTTGCCAACGCGTTCTGCTTCTCTGATTTATTCCAAAATACTGTAGCTCTAGTTATCGTCAACGTGTGGAGGTGTTGAGGACAAAAGCTTTGTGTTCATTCTCTCTCTGTCTTTATCTTTCTGTTTTTCTCTCTCTCTCACTCTTTCTCTATTCTTCTTCATCGATGACATCTCACACGATACCTTGCTGGCAGTTGCTCTCATTCCCATGCCCGCGCTCTCCTCTTTCCCTTTGTCCTAGAGTTATGAAAGCCATTTGTTTTGTTGGTTTTAAGATAGCTGCCATTTTGTCAGGTTGGACTTAACTACCCAATTCCCTGCTTTTTCCTCCGCACACATCCGTCTACTTTTTTTCCCTCTTCAAATGTCCAGTTGCTTCTCCTTTTGGTCAGCCGGGTGTCTGACACACGCGGAAACCCATCAGCTTGCTTAAGAGTTCCACGTATGTTGGACACCTACACATGGGAATTTCCCGCGTGTGGAATAGAACTCTCTCCCTGGAGGGACGTGTACTGATTACTTATTTCCAGAGAGTATCAAACACAAGTTGGCGAGAGTCAAGGCTTGGAGTGTGTGTAGGGATAACTGCTGGTCAGGTCTTTGACTCTGCTCTGATGTGTTCGCGCTCTGACCTACCGGTTGATACTGAGCTAAAAACCTACCGCCTCTCCTCTTGTTCCAGTACTACTTCACCATTAACTTTGGCCACGATGGACAGAAGGTACTGGAGCTGAGGACGGAGGACGTGAAGGATTGTGAAGAGTGGATGACAGCAATAACCCACGCCAGGTCAGGTGTTTATTAAAAGGGGTGGGTTTTGGTTTGGGGTGGGGGGGGGGGGTGGGGACACTGTCTTTAAAGGGGTTGGGTTGGTTGAGGGGGGAATACCGTCTATAGAGGATGGTTCTCATTGGGCAATAAATTCAACAGAGTGTTGATGGAGGGATTCTTTATCTTCAAGCCATATTAAAATGAATATTTTTAGTAGAAAATCGTTGACGATTTGGCAATTGAGGTTTATTCATGGTCATTTTATTAAATGTGTCAAACGGTTAAATGATGGAGTGGGCCTGGCGGGCGCAGCAAAGGGTGGAAGCCTCAAGTTCCAGCTCTGAGGAGAGTAGTTAAGCGTCAAGTGACTCTACGTTATATCAGCCATCGCCAGAGAGAGAGAGAGAGAGAGAGAAAGAGAGGAATTAGGTCATTGTTTTTCCCATCAATTTCACCCTCGCTATTAGCTGTAATTACATTTGTGAATCCTCTTTAGGTAACACTGGTTGTATAATTAGTGAGGATCAGACACACACAGGCCTCCAAACTGTGTGAAACACAGGAGGTTTGATGGTTAGAGCTCGGACTGGGAAACAGAAAGAATTGCGATGGCTGGAACTGAGGTTCAATCCCGGGGAGACAACTGAGCCTCCAGCTCAAACCCACAGCCGAGCTCAGAGTGAGAGGACAACCGACTGAGCCAGGCTGACATTAGCTCAGTGCTCTGACCTGCTGTGCGGATGATCAGAAAGTTTGCAACAAGAACTTGCATTTATATCTAGCGCCCCTCACACAGGGTAACGGCTCAGAGCTCTTGACAGTGGCGGTCGATAGTAAGATTGGTCATAGAGGAAGGTCGCCAGCCATGACCCGAAGAGGGAGAAGGAGGGGGCAAACTGGAGGGATTGAGGAAGTGTCCCAGGGTTTGGGGGCAGAGTGGCTGAAAGCCAATGGTGGAAACGGAGGGCACGAGGGACAAGCAGTAAGTCGGAGTCAGTCGAGCGAAGGCAACGGGGAGCGGATTGGGGAATAAGCAGGTCAGAGAGGTAGGGACGTGCCAGAGCGAGAGGATCTTGAAATCGATCCGTTCGGTCACAGGGAGCCATTGGAGCCTGACGAGGACTGGTGTGATGGGGGGCACGGAGGTTAGTGTGGGTGAGTGTCTCCTGCAAAGAGGGTGAGAGAGAGAGAGAGAGAGAGAGAGAAGGAGTCAAACAGAGACAGCGAAAGGGAGAAAGTGATAGCAGTGAGACCAGGTGCAATTTCAAGCCTCCGGGCAGGCGAATTGAGGGAGATATTTGTTGTGAATAAAAAGAGCATCTTTATATAAAAGGGTCAATGCTGCAGTGATAGCACTGAGAACAGCACAAAGCCGGCAGCTAAACAATAGCACTTCAAGGGTAGGACAGCAAATCCACAAACCAACGATTTATTTATTTACTCAGAGGCCGCGTTAGCTGCTGAGGACGGCTCCTGGAGGTGACAGAGTTATTGCAGTTTACGGTCCATTAATCTGCTGATACAGTCCAGGCGCGCTTTATAATTAACACAATTAGTTCATTTTTGCGTGAATTTTTTATTGCGAGTGTGATCCAATATGTCACTGCGAAGCTCGTGATGGGTGTGGGGGGGTGGGCGTCGGGGGGGCGGTGGATGGGGTGGGGGGGGGGTGATTTACAGAGACAGGGAGAGCTGTTCTCCTCGCGCAGTGGTTTAATTGGTGACTGGATCTCGGGAACCTGAATTATAAAATAATTGGTGGTTAACAGGAGAAGCCGCCAGCGGGGCTGTGAGGGAAGAAGAGAAGATTTTTTTCTCTCTCTTTGTACTCACTCGGGTTCTTCGTTTGTGCTGCTATTCCCTCTGCTGTGTAAGAGCATTCATCCACACAGAGTTTTCTGGGGACAAGATTAGACGTAGTGACTATTTCTCTCTCTCTCTCCCTCTCTCTCTTTCTGACCTCCCAGCTGAGTGGGAGCAGCATTGGAAATCATTCTATAGTGTGCAGCTTACACATACACTTGTACACGCTGGCACACTCACTTACATACACACACTCAAGGCATATCGTGCGTCCAAGTGTATGTGACACTTGCACACGTGTGCGTATTGTGTGTATGCACACGTGCACACTTACGCACGCACACCGCACAATCACGTATGCACGCACACACGCGCACACACACACGCGCGCGCACACGCGCGCACAAAACAGGGTCAGAAAATCATAAAGGAAAATCTGCTGGAGGGGAGAAATAATACGGAAAAAATGTTACAATATAAAGCAAGGCAATTATTCAGATCGGTTGCTGCATTTGCTTGGACAAGATTTATAGTCGACGCAAGTAATATTTTATCTCCTTTGTTTTTTTTAAAAAAAAACTTTGGGACCAGACAGGATTGACATGTAACAGTCGCGCGTGTTCCCTTTATTCTGGTCGCGCACGGAAACCCATCACCGTGCTAAAGGGTATCCGAAAGAGACCGAGAGTTCCATGCATCCCGACCGCACTCCTGACCGGAAGGTGGATCTGAAAAGCAAACTCCAAACTCCACGCCTCCCTCAGTCTGTCCTTCGTTCAGCGAAACAAGTTTAAGACTGATGTTTGGCTTCACCTCAACAGCTCCACTGATCCCTCATTCATCCCGATCCGTGCTGATTCCCAGCTCTTCCCAAAAACAGTCACGGTGTATCATTGCCATCTGCTGTTGAGTCCTGGATGCTGCAACACCCGGATCATTTCACTGAAAGTCATTGAGATAAATAGCCACTGTACCAATAGGATTAACAGGTTAAAAAACACCCACCCAGTCAGCCCTCGTGGTCAGGGGTCCGTCCTGCACCGAGTGACACAAGGAGATCTTTACGTTGAAGCCAAGCAGAGTGTCTCTCGTCTTACAAATGATCCCGTTTACGGTTTTATTCATGTATTACCTGAGCTGCCAAACAGTCCGTCCCTATCTGCCCTGCCCTGGGCTGCCCTGGGCTGCCCTGGGCTGGGCTGGGCTGGGCTGGGCTGGGCTGCCCTGGGCTGGTCTGGGCTGGGCTGCCCTGGGCTGGGCTGGGCTGCCCTGGGCTGGGCTGGGCTGCCCTGGGCTGGGCTGGGCTGCCCTGGGCTGGGCTGCCCTGGGCTGGGCTGGGCTGCCCTGGGCTGGGCTGCCCTGGGCTGGGCTGGGCTGGGCTGCCCTGGGCTGGGCTGCCCTGGGCTGGGCTGGGCTGGGCTGCCCTGGGCTGGGCTGCCCTGGGCTGGGCTGGGCTGGGCTGCCCTGGGCTGGGATGGGCTGGGCTGCCCTGGGCTGGGCTGGGCTGCCCTGGGCTGGGCTGGGCTGGGCTACCCTGGGCTGCCCTGGGCTGGGCTGCCCTGGGCTGGGCTGCCCTGGGCTGGGCTGGGCTGGGGTGAAGTTGTTGGTGGGGATTTCAATGTGAGGACGAGGACCTGGAATCCGATCCGCGGGGAGACGGGGAGTCAGATCAAGGCGGGATCCGAGGTTTATCCCCCCGCCCCCATCTCCGTCCTTTATTCAGTCTCTCCGTGTTTTTTTCTCTACAGCTACAGGAACCTGGCAACGGAGCACGAGTCTCTGATGCAGAAATACCTCCACCTGCTGCAGATCGTGGAGACGGAGAAGACCGTCGCAAAGCGGCTCCGACTTCAGATCGAGGACCAGGAGATTGAAGTGGAACGACTGAAAGCTGAGGTAGGAGGCGGGGGACGGGACCCAGACCGATGTTCCTCACGCCCACTGTGAAGGGACATCAGTGGTGGGATTATTCAATCAATCACTCAACCACTCACTCACTCGACCACTCACTCTCTCTCTCTCTCTCACTCCCTCACTCACTCTCTCTCTCACTCACGCTCTCGCGCTCTCTTTCTGCCAGATCACCTCGCTGCTCAAAAGCAACGAGCGCAATCAGTGCTCCGAGCCAGCCGCCCAGAACGACGAGGATTTCGACATCACCAAAATCAAAAAGGTAACATTTCCGTTGGGCCGGGGTATCGGGCAATACGGGGCAAGGGAGGGGCAACTGGAGTTGAGGTACAGAACAGCTGTGACCCATCACTGAAAGGTACCTTGGAAACTACCTCTACAGAGTGACGTAAACTGTAATACCGTCTTAATAACAATAATGATGATGATGATGATGATGATGAAAATAATAATCTTTCGCCCACAAAATATACATCAATTCACTTTACGGTGTGACCTGTGAAACCCATTCGAGACGTCTCGACGACGTGATCAGGCGCTACATTAAATGCAAGGATTATTATTAATTATTATTAATCCTTGCATTTGGGACAGTGCTTTCGCACTCAAAAGGACGTCTCAAAGCCCCTCACGGGTTGTACCGTAGAGCGTAGTGACTGTGTTTTGTGGGGCGTGCACCTTGTCGGATTCAACACGTCTCTCTCCCCCCCTCCATCCCACACGCACACACACACGCGCACCCGCACACACACCCACACACACACACGCGCACCCACACACCCACCCACACACACACACACATACCCACCCACCCACACACGCACCCACACACACACAGGTGCAGAGCTTCCTGCGGGGCTGGCTGTGCAGAAGGAAATGGAAGACCATTATCCAGGACTATATCCGCTCCCCGCACGCCGAGAGCATGAGGAAGAGGAACCAGGTGGTGTTCAGCATGCTGGAGGCCGAGGCCGAGTACGTGCAGCAGCTTCACATCCTCGTCAACTGCTTCCTGCGGCCCTTGCGCATGGCCGCCAGCTCCAAAAAGCCCCCCATCAACCACGACGACGTCAGCAGCATCTTCCTGAACAGGTGAGGAGAGATTCCCGCTTCTCCCCGGCTGCTGCAGGGGGGGGGGCTTCGAAACGCGCTGAACTGTTGTGGACGCCTCTCTCTCTCTCTCTCTCTCTCTCTCATGCTCTCTCGTCCTTTTTATCTCTCTCTCGCTCTCTCTCTCTCTCTGTGAGAGGATGGACCTCGGGCTTCTTTTGTCTCGCAAGTCTTAAGCGCTTGTATTCTGATCACCTCTTCCCCGCGTCGCTCCCCCTTTTAACGTCCGTCTCTCTTTGCAGTGAAACCATCATGTTTCTGCACCAGATATTCTACCAAGGACTGAAAGCCCGGGTTGCCAGCTGGCCCACTCTGGTCTTAGGTAAAGTCCGTCAAAATGTCTCTTGCCCTCTCCCTGATCCATAGTAATTCTTGCATTTGATGGTCATGCGGGTCCACTCAATCCACCGCTCTTTGCGGAAAGCCGCTGTGCGATCGGCTGCTGCATTTTGCCCACCAAACACCCGGGCAAATCCACTTTACCGTGCGTCCTGCGAAGCGCTTTGAGGCGTCTCAACGACGCGATAAGGCGCCGGGTCAAACGGAGGCGTTAGGCAAAGCGCTTCGCAGGTGATTGTGATTGTGTTTGGATCAAATGCCCTTTCCCTCCACGTAACTCCCAAAAGTCTCCAAATCGAGGTATTGACCGAGGTATTAATTGTTGTGTCTCGTTCCCTTCGCTCACTCCTTCCCCCCTCCCACCCCCTCCCCCCCCACCCCCCCACCCCACAGCTGACCTGTTTGACATCCTGCTGCCGATGCTAAACATCTACCAGGAGTTTGTGAGGAACCATCAATACAGCCTACAGATCCTCGCCAGCTGTAAGCAGAACCGGGACTTCGACAAACTCCTCAAACAGTACGAGGCCAAACCAGACTGTGAGGAGAGGACCCTCGAGACCTTCCTCACCTACCCCATGTTCCAGGTAACACACGGAGCCCGTGGGCCCACCCTGGCCCTCCTCTTTGGTCACCCTCCTACCCCCAACCCCCACCCCCAACCCCCCACCTCCCGATCACAACCCCCCGGCTCGGGTGCAAATCCTCGACTGTCCAGCGCCTTGGGGAGAGAGAGAGATGGGGTTTGAGAGAAGGAGAGAGAGAGAGAGAGAGATGGGGGGAGAGAGAGGGAGAGATAGGGGAGAGACGGGAGAGTGATGAAGAGAGAGAGGGATAGAGAGGGAGAGAGAGAGAGAGATGGGAAATAATAATATTACTATTAATGTTATGAAGGGATTATTCCCCCCGGAAAGTGACCCCCCCCCCCCCCCCCCCCGCGATCGACTAACAATTTTATTAATTAATGAGACGCAGACGTCCTCCCGACATGGAAGACGCTGCGTAAGTGTTGTCCTTGTGCGGCGTGGCTGCGTTTCCTGTGGTTGAGCTGTTGTTGCTGCGAGCTGCGTGTCTGGACTGCGTTTCTCTCGCTCAGATCCCCAGGTACATCCTGACGCTGCACGAGTTGCTCGCGCACACCCCGCACGAGCACGTGGAGAGGAAGAGCCTGGAATACGCCAAATCCAAGCTGGAGGAGCTGTCGCGGTGAGTCAACCCCATCACACACTCACACTCTCACGCTCACGCTCACACTCAGACTCACTCTCACACACTCACTCTCACGCACTCACACTCACGCTCATGCTCACACACTCACTCTCACACAACCACCACAAGATTTCATTTATAGAGCGCTCACACACTCACTCTCACACACTCACGCTCACTCACTTTCACGCTCACACTCTCACTCTCACTCACGCTCACACTCACTCTCACACTCACGCTCACTCACTTTCACGCTCACACTCTCACTCTCACTCTCACTCTCACTCACGCTCACACTCACTCTCTCACTCACGCTCACTCTCACACTCACACTCACGCTCACACTCACGCTCACTCACTTTCACGCTCACACTCTCACTCACTCTCACACTCACTCTCACACTCACTCTCACACTCATACTCACTCACACACTCACTCTCACTCACACACTCACACTCACTCACACACTCACTCACACACTCACTCACACACTCACTCTCACACTCACTCTCACACTCACACTCACTCTCACACTCTCACGTTCACACTCACTCTCACACTCACTCTCACTCTCACACTCATGCTCACACTCACGGCTCGGGGCCAGGGTTGAGGGTGTCTGTCGCTCTTTTCCTCATCCACCATGACACTGGCTCTGTGACCTGCCCTCCCCTCCAGGGATTTGTGACGCGTCAAAAACCTGCCGATGCATCCCAAAACATCGCCCTGGGTCTTGCCACGATAAGATCCCCTGTGAAACGTCTTCTCCGCGAGACCGAGGACCCTCCCTCCCCAGCTTGTGTAACCCTCGCTCCTCCTGTTTTCTGTCTCCCCTCAGAATAATGCACGACGAAGTGAGCGAGACCGAGAACATCCGCAAGAATCTGGCCATCGAGCGGATGATCGTGGAGGGATGCGAGATCCTGCTCGATACCAGCCAGACCTTCGTACGTCAAGGTACCGGGAAACTCCGAACACCACAGGGCAGGAGAGAGAGAGAAACCTCCGCTGCCTTTAAGCGCTCGCTCCCAGACCTGACCCGACCCGAAGGAACCGATGTTAATTGTTGTTGTTGTTGTTGTGGTGGTGGTTTCAGGTTCACTGATCCAGGTGCCGATGACTGAGAAAGGGAAGATCACCCGAGGCCGTTTGGGATCCTTGTCCCTGAAGAAAGAGGGAGAAAAGCAGTGTTTCCTCTTCTCCAAACACCTGATAATATGCACCAGGGGATCGGGAGGAAAGCTGCACTTAACCAAAGTAGGTGCTTGTCCACACACTGGGGTCTATACTCCATAAAGGCCTCCGACGAGGGTGGGAGGGAGGGAGGGAGGGAGGGAGTGGGGGGGGGGGGGGAGGGAGGGAGGGAGGGAGGGATTATCACCTTTTCCGTGATAGTTGTCTAAAAGTTCACCTAAAATATGTTTTCCATTTTCTTTTCCAGATGCTGTTCGACAGCAAACGGGTGAGTGCAATAATAATAATAATAATAATAATAATAATAAAAATAATAATAATAATAATAATAAGCCTCGCATTTGAGGCAGCGCCTAATCACGTGGTCGAGACGTCTCAAAGCTCTTCACGGAATATACTGGAAAGTGAATTGACTGTATATTTTGTGGGCGAAACGTGTGTGTAATGAGAGTCATCCAGAGTTCGATGCTCGAAGGGTTAAACGCGTGTATCATTGTCCCGGCCCTGGACTATCGTGGAATGCGCTCCCGCAGAAAACAACAACAACAACAATGTTTATGCCACGCTCTTCACGCTGGACAGCATCTCGGAGCGTTTAAAACCACGGACGCAAAAGATAATGGGTTGTCTCACAAGGGAGATAGAGACTCGGGAAGCAAGGATGCTACGTGGCTATGGAGGAAAGGAAGGGAAATGGGGTTAGAAGATCTGCTTTGAATAAATAAATTGGCGGAACAGGCTCGAGGGGCTGAATGGCCTCCTCCTGTTTTTAGACCATTGGCCGCTGGTTCCCTAATAATATTAATCCCTGTCTTTTACCTTCTAGAATGGAGTCCTGTCACTCATTGACTGCACGCTAGTGGAGGACACAGAAGGAACCGAAGATGAATGTAAGTCAAAGAGATTTGTTCGCATTGGGGAAGGGGAGTGAGTGGGTGGGGGGGAGGGAGGGGAAGTGGGGGGAGCGGGGAGCGGGGAGGGGGAGCAAGCAAGCGGGTGGTGGGGGGTTTAAAATATTCCACTCCCTCCCACCCCAATCGTCACCTGGACCTGGGTTAAAATGCGTCTCATCTGTTGGCACCTCACAGCCCGGTCACAGGACATGGAGCACCTGGACTTCAAAATGGTGGTGGAGCCCAAGGACTCGCCCTCATTCACCATCATCCTGGTGGCTTCGTCCCGTCAGGAGAAGGCAGCGTGGACAAGTGACATCAGTCAGGTCAGTGACAGCGAGGGTTAGTATCAACGGCTATTTTAATGATGAGCGTCAGAAAAAAAGTAACGTTATTTACCGCATATTTATAGCATCCCACAGTGAAGCAAGTCAGAGTAAAGATACAATGCACTCCCTCTAACCCAACAGTAGACTTTCACTGAGACGCTTCCTTTTAATTTCAGTGCATAGACAACATTCGCTGCAACGGTCTCATGATGAACGCATTCGAAGAAAATTCAAAAGTTACCGTGCCCCAGATGATCAAGTGAGTACACTGGGAACCGGTGGTTAGTTGATTGTCGGATCGATTTCCAGGGGTAATAATCCCTCCCCCAAAAATAATAATAATAATAATTTGGTCACTCAATCCACGGCTATTTGTGAGACGCTGCCGTGTGCAATCGCCTGCCAAGTTTCGCCCGCAAAATACACAGTCGCTACACTTGACAGTGTGCCGTGTGAAGCGCTTTGAGACGTCTCAACGACGTGTTAAGGCGCTATGTCAAATGCAAGGATTATTATTCATTATGATTATGATTATTATTATTATTATTGTTGTGGCTCACCTCTCCTGTTCTTGTCTCTCTGCTCCCCAGGTCGGACACGAGCCTGTACTGTGACGATGTGGATATCCGGTTCAGTAAAACCCTCAACTCCTGTAAAGTTCTCCAGATCCGCTATGCAAGCGTGGAGCGCCTGTTGGAACGCCTGACCGACCTGCGCTTCCTGAGCATAGACTTCCTCAACACCTTCCTGCATTCCTACCGGGTGTTCACCACAGCGGAGGTGGTGCTGGACAAACTCATCACAATCTACAAAAAGCCCATCAGTGCAATCCCAGCAAGGTAATGAATGTCCAGCTCCCATCCTGACCCTGTCAGACTCTTCCTCGTTTCTGGTCAATTCACCTCTTGTCGCTGACTTGCCAGTCAATGGAAATTGTCTCACTCTGTTTCACTCCATGAGGAAAACCATTCATGAATTTGGAAGACCTCTACGAGAGAATCGCTCTCGACCTTTCAGCGCGCACTGGTCGAGGTCAGAGCTCGCTCGCTCGCTTGTTAATGCACCACAGCTGCGGGGGTTTCACTCCCACACATCACTCGTCCTCTAACGATCGCAGTAAACCTTTTTCAGCTTCGAGCGAAAAAATGACTGTCAATCTCTTCCGAGTCAGTCGCTCCAATGGCTTCGCTTCCCTTGTCCACGCAGGTCACTGGAACTCTTCCTCGCGAGCAGTCAGAATAACAAGCTTCTGTACGGGGAGCCTCCCAAGTCACCGCGAGCCAGTCGGAAGTTCTCCTCCCCGCCACCTCTGTCCATCTCCAAGTCGTCCTCGCCGATCAGGAGGAGGAAGCTTTCCCTGAACATTCCCATCATCACAGGAGGCAAAGCTCTGGATCTGGCTGCGATGGCCTGCTCGTCGAACGGCTATGCAAGTATGTATTCTTCCATGTCGCCTTTCAGTAAGACCACGCTGGACATTAACAAGCTCTATGTGTCGAGTGGCTACTCCAACAAGCTCTCTGACGAGGCAGAGGGCAAAGCGGAGAAACCCGAAGACGTGAGCTCCAGCAAAGCAGGTGAGCTCTGGCCTGGCCCAATGGGTCACGGAGCGAGAGTCAGACTAGTAGTAATAATAATAATAATTATTATTTATTAATTATTGGGCGCTATATAAATGCAAGTTGCTGTTGTTGTTGTTCTGACCCCGGGTCGGCCTGGGTCTCTTGTCCCCACTAGGCCCAGATAAGACGGTGAAGGAGGACACCGAGCCTGAGCAGGCTCCTAGCGACGAGACCGAGAGTGAGACGTCACCAACAAAATCCCCGACAACCCCAAAGCAGTTGAAAGGCAAGAACTCTTCAGGTAAGACTCCCGGGCTCCTTAGCGGGACTTTGTGAACACCCTGTACAGCTGGGAGAGGGGAAGGGCAGGGAGTGGGGAATTGATTCAAACCTCAACCCAACCAATGGAAGTTCCTTCTCCTCACCTGAAACTCCTACGCACTGTGGGCTTTGCTCTGCGACTCTCCTTGGGCTGGGACGAGGTCGTGGGAACGTGTAAAAGATGGCCTGCTCGTATTATTTCTGGGTATTATTTCTTTCTTTCTTCATTCTGCGGAATTCCCCAGAGTTCTCCTTGTTTTCCTACAACAACGGAGTGGTGGTGACCACCTGCCGGGAGATGGACGGCAACCGCAGCTCCCTGTCTGCGGCCTCCGCCTTCGCCATCGCCACGGCCGGAGCCAACGAGGGCACCCCCACCAAGGAGAAACTGCGGAGGATGTCACTGGCCAGTGCAGGTATTTGCTGTGTTAGTATGTGTCGAGCTCGGCTCAGCCCCACATCCGGCTCCCCCTTCCCCCCCACCCAATCCTCCTCTTACCCCTCCTCCATCCATACCCTGCCCTGAAGGTCATCCACTTCCTGGCCACTCGTGGGGCTTTGCTGGCTTCTACGCGACATCTTTGTTTGATGTCAGCCGCCAACGGGATTTCCCAATTTAGAATCGCTCGCAACCTGAGAGAGCGCGGGAGAGGGGGAGAGGGGGAGAGAGAGAGAGAGAGAGAGAGAGAGAATAAAAAGGAACCCTTCCTTCATTTACTTCTCTGACTGTTCCTGCCTCTGGTCCTGTGACCTGCTGCCTCGCCCAGGTTTCCCGGCCGACCAGAGGATCTGCGACAAGGAGTTTGTGATCCGAAGAGCAGCAACCAACCGGGTGCTCAACGTACTGAGGCACTGGGTCTCCAAGCATTCCCAGGTAGAGTACTCTCACAAGGTGTATCAATAACCCATGTACCCGGCTCCGGGTCAGAGTCCGCCATTGTTAAGCGCTCCGAGACGCTGTATAAATGCTAGTTATCGCCGTTGATGATGTTGCCGTTGTTGTTGTTGTTGTTTTAGGCCCTGGCCCCAGTGTAAGCTGAGCTGCCCAATGGGCTCCTCTTGTGTTGCGACGCCTACGAGTCGGGTGACTGTTAACTGTTCCCTTTCCTCCCGCCGCAGGATTTCAATGTGAACTCTGAGCTGAAGAGCAAAGTCATCGGGTTCCTGGAGGAGGTCATCCACGACCCAGAGTTGCTCACACAGGAGCGGAAAGCGGCAGCCAACATCATCAGGTTAGCGACTCGCTAACCAGTGGTCGCTGTGAACCACAGGCGCAAATTGGGACCTCTTTAGTCACCCCAAAAACTCAACGGGAGCTGCGTTTGTGACTTAACATTAAACTAAATAAAATACAATTTTGCTCACGAATTACACAGTCTCTGCACTTGACGGTATGTTACGTGAAGCGCTTTGAAACGTCTCAATGACGTGATAAGGCGCTATATCAAATGCGAGCAGTATTATTATTATTATTATTATTATTATCTGTTAAACTGAATAAAGAGATGGAATATAAAACTAACTTTAGCTGCGGTGCTAAGATGTATCTTTATATGAAGTGCAACAGCTGTGTTTGTGTGTGTGAGTATATGTTGATGGTTGGATGGAGTTTAAAGGTTATGTAAGAAAGATCTATTGTAAGAATAATAATAACTTTCACATTGGGAGGATATTCCAAGGCGCTGGACAGCCAGGGATTTGGACCTGAGCTGGGGATTGGGTTTAATTAAATAATAATTGTTGTTAATTAAGACATCTCAAAGCACTTGATAAACACCGCTGTGTCTCTGTGTTTCAGGACTTTGACCCAAGAAGATCCAGGAGACAATCAGACCACCTCGGAGCTCGTGAACTCGGTTGGTGTGAGCCACTGTCCGTTTAAACTCCCAGATTGCTTTGTGCGAGAGGTAGTTTTTACAGTCACTGATTTTCTTTTGAAAACTGTCGCAATCTTCTTCTTCTTCCCCTTTGTAAAGGCTGAAGAGGAGACGTTTGAAAATCTCTCGGCCCTGGAGATCGCCGAGGAGTTGACGTTGCTGGATCACATAGTTTTTAGGTGCATCCCCTACGGGTAAGTTGGCTGTGGCCTCGGTGCCTGTCTATCCCAGCTCCTGCAGGTGTTTCCTTCCAGCCCCTGTCCTCGCCCTGACGTGTATAAAGCCGGTTTTGTGTATAAGCTGCTCTGATGAATGGCTCCATTGCTTGCAGTGAGTTTTTCGGCCAGGGTTGGATGAAACCCGAGAAGAATGAGCGAGCTCCCTACATTATGAAAACCACCAAACACTTCAACGATGTAAGTGGTGCCGTTACGTGGGTCTGATTCCTTGCGAGTTAGGCACAGCCCTGTTCTTCCTGTGAGTTTTTGATTTTCTCTGCATGTCTCTATCCCCCTTTACATCAACTAAAGACGAACGTGAGTTCCTGAAGATACCATTGCATTGCCAGCGCGGGGCTGAAGCTTTGCTTGGCAAGTTGCCATGATCTTTAATCCTAAACCCTGTCCTTATTCTTCTCTTGCCCCCCCCCCCCCCCCATCCCCGCCCAACCGCACACACACACACACACACACACACACACAGATGAGCAATTTAATCGCCTCTGAGATCTTGAAGAGTGAGGATGTGAATGTCAGGACGGGAGCCATTGAGAAGTGGGTTGCAGTCGCCGACATCTGCAAGTGTCTCCACAACTACAACGCAGTCCTGGAGATCAGTTCCGCGCTCAATCGAAGCGCTATCTTCCGACTGAAAAAGACCTGGTTGAAAGTATCCAAACAGGTAACTGGGGGACGATTCCTTCGCACCCACATACACACACCACACACACACCATACACACACACACACACCACGCACACATACACACACCACACACACACCATACACACATCACGCACACACACACACCACACGCACACACACCACACACCACACATACACACCACGCACACGCACACACACACCACACACACGCATACACACACACCACGCACACACCACGCACACACCACACACACACAACTCTCTGACTTCTATGTCTAGACTTGAACTACAGTTTGGGCTGAGGTTCCAATGAGGTGTGCGTGTGTGGTGGGGGGATGTGGGGGGGGGAGGGGGGTGTTGGGGTGAGGGGTTTGCTATATTATTGTAGGTGACGTCCTTCAGATGAGACGTTAATGCAAGTTCCTGTTCCACCTGTTCAGGTGGACGTTAAAGATTCCATGACACTGTCGGAAAAGAGAAAGGAGTTTCTTCCGGTGACCTGACCAACAATTCACCCCTGTACCCACACCCCCCACACCCAGATACATTTATTGTTCACTTACTTTGCTGCTTTAGAACATCACTTGAGTTTTGCACTTGCCGGTAAATAAACAGTCACTAGACGTGGCAGCAATCGTCTATCTCGCGAAGGTTCGACATTTTAGCCGCTGTATCAAATGCAGGAATTATTCTGATGATGATTATGATTATTAATTGTGATTTCACCCCAGCAGACTCGCGCTCCCCACTCAATACACGTTCTTTGGTTTGTTTCAGACCAAGGCTTTGATCGATAAACTGCAAAAGTTGGTGTCTTCGGAGGGAAGATTCAAGAACCTCCGAGAAGCGTTACGGAAGTGAGTCGCACTTTCCCAAACGTGTTGTGCTTTCTGCGCAAACAGCGCAAATTGTAGCAAAAAAAAAAAACCCAAACAAGCCTGAAATCCTTCCTTGGTAACTTATTTCCTGCTTCGCACTGTCCATGCATTTTGTTTCACATCTCAAATCCCCTTCTCTGTGTCCAACTGCTATGAAGTGCTGAGAGTGTTGTGATAACTTGACTCTTCTGCGTAACAGACAATCTTTATTTCCTCCCCCACCCCCACATCATCTGAAGTTGTGATCCTCCGTGCGTTCCGTACCTGGGGATGTACCTGACAGACCTGGCGTTTATCGAGGAGGGAACTCCCAACTATACTGAAGATGGATTAGTCAACTTCTCCAAGATGAGAATGGTAGGTCTCCGTCACATTGCGCTTCATCCCTTGTCTTTCAGTCTTTCAGATGAGACGTTAAACCAAGGTCCCGCCTGGCTGTTCAGGGGGACGTTAGAGATCCCGTGGCGCTATTCGAAAAGATAATGGAGTTTCTCTGTCACGGTGTCCTGGGCAAATAAAATCGGTCACTCGATCCACGACTGTTTGTGAGACAAAGAATTGCGGCCTGTTCAATTGCATTGTGTGGGGCTTTGTCCTGTGGTTTCCAGTTGAGTATTCTCACCTTCTCCCCGTGTCTATGTTAACAGATATCTCACATTATTCGAGAAATCAGGCAATTCCAGCAGAACTCGTACAAAATAGAGCAACAACCTAAGGTCTGTATATCTTTTTTATTTCCAAAATGCATGTATACTAACTATAATCGACCATTATATTGGATAATTGTTTAATTCCAAACCAAGCTCTAATGGAAAGCCGTCTTGTGTTGAATCAGGTCTCACGCTATTTGCTGCTGCGGCCAGATGTCCTGGATGAAGAGAGTTTATACGAAGCTTCCCTACGGATGGAACCCAAGCTCCCCACCTGAATCCCGGCCACTCCTCCCCCCGCACTCCTCGCATCCGAAATCTTGCATCAATGATGATACCACTGTTCTCCTTCTACATGCTGTGCATGGGGCATCACCGAAGAGTAGACACTACCTACACAACCGGAGCCCGTCACCTACCTGTGCCCTCTGGAGTGGCGTTTGCAAATCAATCGCTGCCATCTACTACTTTAAAGGGTTCAAAGTGGTGCAGCAGTTCAAGGGCTTTGTGGCAACACTAATAAGTGATTTAATTTAGTCACCTCTATCTAAAACAAACGCTCCTTTACATACATCCTGAGAGGTAAAGTAAGTTAAACCACTGTCCTTTCACCACCAGGACCTGAGTTCCAATCCAGCCCAGCCTGACAGCGTGAAAGCCTCGCTCACTCCCTCTCGCTGCCAGAGGACCACGTGAGTTAACACACAAGCCTTTCACTTTGACTACATGGTTTCCAATCCAATGATTACCCTCTGAGTCGCTGTACAGTATCCAGGCTCTGCAACAGCCGATAGATAGTAAGTGTCCCCATTCACCAACAACAGGCAAAGCACTCCGTGGGAGGAGATTATTGAAAACTGGCTCCAGAGAGATTTGAGCCCTTTTTTTATATAGCCAGAAAACATTAAAGCTTAGATTTAGAGGCATCCTCTTACAGGCACTTAACATTATTTTACAGAAATCGGTTGGAATACTTCCTCTTCTTTTTAAACCTTTTTAAAGATTTCTCTCCGGAATTAGATTAACGTGTGAGTCCCTCTGGGGAGAGAGTGTACAGCACTTTCCACACACAGGGACATGGAGTGCAGTGATTTATATGGTTTGGATACTCTTAAGCATGCTGGTGGTTTCCGCATGTGTTGGACACCAAGCGATTCACTGTTCTTCTACAAAGGCTTAGGATAGATTTTTTGTCACTTAAACCTTCAGCGCTGTCCTGTACTGTGCTGGGCTGTGCTGTACTCCACCCTGAGCCTGACTGTGATGCCCAGGTCCCAGCAACAGACCAAGGATTATCACACAAGCCTTTGGTCCAAAAGACGTTCAACTCAGAATGTGGCCATTGAGCTCAATCTTCCTCGTCTTGGGAGAGATTAAAAATTGTGACCATAAAAATGAACATGTGGTTACAGAATACATAGGGCTTACTCCCACCCACCTGGTTTGCCTTTACCTGAGGGGTCCACATGGGTCAGACACCCGACTGACCCCCAAAAAATCAATTCAGCTCCAACTAGATCCCACTCAACTCCTCCACTCCTTTCAGGAGAACATTCTTAGGTATGGAAAATCTCTGCACCTCACCCCAAACCCCTTAAAACTGTTGCACCGTCAACCTCTACGAAACCTCAGCCACACTTCCTGCATCAACGACAGAAGTCTGCAAACTTTCAGTTTATCCTGAGTTTACTTATCTCACCCTATCTAACCTTATTTAGAATTTTTGATGTATGCTTTATAAAAATAACACCCAAAAATAAAACAAAACTGAAGTCTTTCGTATATGAAGCCAAGGTTGGGAAATTGCACCAGTCCAAGGTCGGAGCCTGTGCGTGTGTCTGTCTGTGTGTGTGTGTTGTCATGGGATAGGATCAAAGCTGTAGGACTTGTTCAGAGTCTTTGGTCATCTTTTCCCCTTCCCAATCCCACCGCCCAGCTCGGGTGCCCAGCCAGCAGCGTCGAGCGCTTTGAAACGTCCTTCCAACGTGAAGAAGGCGCTATGTAAACGTCCTGACGTTTCTGGAAGGGAAGCACAAAAAAGTATTGCTTGTGGGGCCTGCAGACGTCTCACAAATAGGGCATCCAGGAGGCTGGACAACCCACCCACCCACCCACCCAGCAACAGCTGAGAAAGTGTGACTCTTGCCGGACTCGATATCCGCCACCAGAAGGGGCAACACCATCACAAGCTCTGCGGGTGTCGCAGGCTCAGCCACTGGGCAGCGGCTTGTGATGGCGGAGCTGTGTTTTGTGACCCCCTGGCAAGACCTCGGAATGGGTTTGAGATAGTTTTTATTTCCAGCCTTGTTGCATGCCCACAATTCCACGGAGCTGGTGCGGTTTTTTAAAAAAAATGAATGAGAGGAACGCCAGAGAGTTTTGCCGTTCCTTCTCCGATAATATCTGTTTCGCCCGCCTGCAAAATTACGCAGTCCATTCATTCACTTGACGGCGTGTCCCGTGAAGCGCTTCGAGACGTCTCGGAGACGTGATAAGGCGCTGTATCAAATGCAAGGGTTGCTATTGTAACGGTGACCCTTTTCCAGACTCTAAGCTGCAAGTGGTGCCACACGGTATATGTCTCCAGTGTTTCGTCAGCTCCATTAAATTTCAACAGTCAAAGCCCGAGAGCCTTCTACCACCTTTTATTGTCATGGGAAGAAAAATTCAGGATCAACTTGGAGAGACACTCCGTTGGCATCAGCCCAGCAGTGCGTCTACTCTCTCATTCGAAAGACTCCGCGCTCCATTGGGAAGTGAATATCTTGTCTTCTGGTGAAACCTTCCACTCCTGAACTCTGAAATCCAGGGATAACGTTAAGTTTCTTTCCAGTTCAAGGAGACCGCATGCCTTTGGCTACTCCACCGGCATTGTTATGTCCACTACAGGTATCCTTACACAAGCAATCCCAAAATAATTAGTTTTTAGTATTATATCAGCAGTGAAATATAATGATATATTCCTATTTTTCGTATCTAGAATATTTCCATACTTACCGAATGGCTCGGACTGCAGAGCTCTTTGTGACGTTGCGGTTAATTCCGAGACTATGATTTGTGACACGTTTTGGAACGGAATCCCGTTGCACTCTTGATAGGAGATTTTATTTGAACACGGCACCAAGAGTATTCTTCTCTCTGTACCGGGTCGGTGCTTGAACCTTACTTAGTGCATAATTAAAAGTCACATTCTGTAGATTGAAACAACACCGTCTGAACGTTTTTATTTCTTCCGAGTATTACAGACAAGAAGCTGCAAAGCTCTCATCTCACCCATATGGGGCATTTTATTAGAATTGGCAGAACGGGGGGTGGGGGGGGAGTGTGGGGGGGAGGCTTTGGCTGGAAGTTGGCGGAGGGAGTTGCGGGTCTAAGATTGGCTGTGCTGTCCCCTTCAGCTCAAATATCACTGTCACATTGATAATGGGCGCTTGACCAATATAACAGAGGACGTTCATTAAAGAACCTGAGGCACTACTTGAAGAGAGAAAGGAGTTTCTCTCTCCCGGTGTCGTGTCCTGGCCATCAATCTCCCAAATAGAACTCACGACTGTTTGCGGGACGCTGCCGTGCGCAATTGGCTGCCGCGTTTCGCCACAAAATACACAAGTCAATTCACTTTGCAATAAATTCTGTGAAGCGCTTTGAGACGGCTCATTGATGTGATAAGGCCCTATATCAAATGCAAGGATTATTATTACTACACACACTTCCCACTGTACAGGATGCCTCCGTCAAACATCTTTTAAACGTCTTTCATTATTATTACAAAGACTCGAAAGTGCCTTAACTCATCCAAGATTCCCTTCAAAAAACATCAACTTCCTGTGCAACACACGGATTTTGTTCTGTTTTTTTTTTCTTTGTTGAACCTCTTCCTGGATTAAAATAAAGGGAACTCAAAGTGAAATTCATCGTTGATTACTTAGCCTTTGTACCATCACATGACTTCCTGAAACAGCCTTGCTGAGACTGCTTTATTATATAGAGCATATCGTGCCTCGCTCTCTGTGTGAGGAAGTCCAGTAAAGTACAAGCATCTGGCAGTGCTGTGCTCTCCTCCCAGTCCCTGAGTTAACAACATTTTTCAGTCTCTCCCTGAACATGGTGCTCTCCGCGACCCTACTAGCAATTGCCCTGCTGGGTGGTGTGTGCTGTGTGTCTGAGTTTACTTTCCAAGGTAAGTTGAGACTTGAGATCGCTGCCGGAAACTGTGGGGCAGGTTTTCGGTTGACTGTTTGTGGAGTATAGGTGGAGAGGTATGTGTTTGGGGGTGGGGGGGGGGGGGGGGGTTGCTGTGGGAGAAGACAAGAGAAACCACATTCATCAGATATGGAAAGCTTTAAACCGAAACTGCTCTGAGCAGTGAGAGTTTCATTAGCTGTGAAAATGTTCAGGTCAGATTTACCAACCTGTTAAACTGAACTCCGAAGTGTCCCAACTAGAGTTGCCAACTCCAGGCTATTAATAATAATTCTTGCATTTGATACGACGCCTTATCATGTCGTCGAGACGTCTCAAAGAGCTTCAGAGGATATACTGTAAAGCGGTTTTGACTGTGTGTTTTGTGGGCAAAAAGCAGCAGCCAGTTTTGTCCACAGCAGTGCCCCACGAACAGCCATGAAGTGACTGACCAATTTAATGCAAAAAAAAAGCTGTGAGACACAAAAAAGAGCTACTGACTCAATAAAGCACCTCCTGGCCGAATCCATTTCGACAAAACGTAATGTCTCTCCTCAGGATTTTCCCACTTATTTCCTTGAGCTCCGTGGTACATTAAATCAAAGGACTTTTAATGCGCAACCTGAATTGAGACCGATTGCACAAATCGACCCAACCTCGATTCGAATGCTAGCTCTTGATTTGGGAAATGGTTGTCGGGTGATCGCTTATGCAAGAGCGGTGGGGTGAGTGGGTAGTTGGGTGGTGGGGGTGGGGAGCTGTGTGTCAGCCTGGTGGTTTGGATACTCTTGGACCACCGAGATGGGTTTCCGCGTGTGTCAGGCGTCCGGCTGAACAAAAAAAAATTTGCTTAGGTTTTTGGAGCAGTGGGGGGGGGGGGGTGGGGGGTGGAATAGGCCCTTGTTTTGCAGACGCTACTCACTAACTGGACACTGAGGTGCCTCCAGGAACATGGCACCCGCTGAGAGATTCAGACTGAAACAGTGCAGCCACGTTCTCTGAGCAGAAAATCTAGCGCTCACAGTACAATGTTCGTTCCTCTTTCTCTTTCAGAAATAGTTTCTTTCAAGACGTGGATGACTCAGGTAAAACCCCGTTAAAAGTCTGGTAACAGCTCCTCCAAGCGCAATGTAACGTGATATAATATAACGCTCCTCCACCCCGTTACCATGAGATTGCAATCAATACAATACACGTCGGGAGGACATCCCAATATATTGAGACAACCCTTTGCTCTCGCTCTGGGACGCTACCATTGCGTGAGGGGCGCTAGATAAGTGCAAGTTGTTGTCGTCGTTCTTCCCCTTTTTTTTTACTCCCGTACAGCACAACAAACACTACAGCTCAGAAGAATATTCCTACAGGCTCCGCACTTTCATTCAAAACAAGAGAAAGGTGGAAGAGCACAACTCCGGACAGCATTCCTATCGCAGTAAGTTCAACGCCGAGATTTTACAGCTGGGATTTCCACGTTGATTCTTGATAATATTCCCAAAAATCATCGCAGTCGACACAGAGCCTTATCACATCGGGAGCGCTTCACGGGAATTCCACGGGAATGTGACATTTTTAATATTTTTTTGCAGTGGGGTTGAACCAATTCTCTGACATGACCTTCAGTGAATTTAAGAAGCTGTACCTGCTACGGGAGCCACAGGTAATGCCCTTCATTTTGGGCTCCGTACCAACTGTGTATTGTCTCTGTGCCCTGAGTGATGTCTGACTTCTATGTGCTGTTCACCCCATTAATTGTCACAGTTGTTGTTCCGGTGATAATTAAGAAACTTTGTCTAAACCAGGCAACCCAGGCTTTGTGTGCGTAAGATCATGCTTAAATTCTGCGCTGTTTCTTCAGCAAACAGCAGCGTCAGAGTTTGTGCCTGAAAAGTACCTTGGACTCTGGCTGTGAGCTGTGTACCGAGGCAAAGGGCTCTTAAGAAGCTGCTTGACTTTGAGAATAAAGGGACTCCAGTGTGTTCTGCCACGCAAGTCAATGAAAGAGTTGGCTCCCACTTTCGGCTCTTAACTATTTTACTGCCTTATTATGGGAGACAAGAAAATGCTCCATAACAATGGCCAGGGACAGAGAAAGAGCCATTAGGCTCAATGAGTCCGTGCCTGTGCATTTGCCTTTTCATTTGCCTTTGCCTTTTCGTGCTCCTGTGTTCTTTGATCTCAAAGTCTATAACAGGCTTTATTTGACCATTCAGTTCACCACTGTCTGTGGGACGCTGTTGTGCGCAAATTGGCTGCCGTGTTTCGCCCACACAGTCAATCTACTTTCCATATATCCTGTGAAGCGCTTTGAGACGTCTGAACAACGTGATAAGGCGCTATATCAAATGCTAGGATTATTATACTATTATTATTATTCTAACGCCAGATTTATAAACAGGGCGGTGATGGTAGCGGAAACGCAAAATACTGCAGATGCTGGAAATCTGAAACCAAAAAACAGAAGTCGTCGGGAACACTCAGCGGGTCAGGCAGCATCTATGGAGAAAGGAACGTGAGTCAACGTTTCGAACAAAGGGTTGTGGACCCGAAACGTTGACTCACTTTCCTCTCTCCATAGACGGTCTGACCTGTTGGGTGTTCCCAGCGACTTCTGTTATTGCTGTCGGTGATGGTAGCGGGACGCACATCACGTTGACGTGTGGTACTGGAGGGGAGCCAGCGTGACGCATTTCCAGTTAAAACAAAAGAACGTAATTCAAATTTATCTCCATTTCCTCAAAATGGCTGGTTTGAGACCGGCCCTGATATGTTTAAACATCCCAGCGAATCCTCTTCTCTATGCTTTTAATAAAGGATAATTTGGACTGAGGCAAATATACAAAGTAATAATAATAATAATCCTTGCACTCGATTAACCGCTCTACAACAACAACTTGCAATAATCTCCAGTAGTGCCCTTCATGCAGTGTCAAGCCTCCAGGTTGTTATGGTCGGAACGTACGCACAATGTATCTGAGAGAGAAACTTGTAGCAGTGAAAAAGGGAAGTGAAGCGAGAAGGGAGATTTGGCCGACACATTTGCATGTCTCTCAAATCCTGTTGGGTTCATTTTTAATTCTTCAGACATTATATAACCCACATTCCACCTGCAAATACACAAACACACTGGACTTAACAGCGTGAAGAGCTTTGAGACGATTTGTCCTTAAGAGTGTTGTATCACATTGCAGGGATTATGATTCTTTACATAAATATTAATTGTTACCCACCTTCTCTCTCCCCCTCTCTCTTCCCCCCACCCCACCACACCACCACCACCACCACCCCCCTACCCCCGCACACACAGAATTGCAGTGCTACACGAGGAAACCATGTTCTCAGCATGGGGCCTTACCCCGATTTTGTAGACTGGAGAACCAAAGGCAATTACGTCACACCAGTGAAGAATCAGGTATGATCTTTCGCACCCACTCTGTAAACCAGACAAGGCGCTGACTCTATCACACGCCCTGGCTGCTCACTAGCTCACGGGGCCAGTACAGAACCTTAGTGCTTTGTCCAACCTTTAACTCCCTTCACAACCTTTCGCCTGACCCGCCGCTCTTCTCTTATCTCCGCAACCGTGCCCACCGCGGACACTACCTCCCACCCAACGCAGCCAAAAGCCCCGGCCACACCTTCGTCACCTCCAGGCTCAACTTCTCTTGATTCCCTGCTCGCCATTGGAGGGCGAGCTTTTAACCACTTTACTCCCAGTCTCTCTCTCGCTCTTTCTCTCTCCCCAAAGCTCTCCTCCTCGCCCTAGCTCAGGGCAGCGAAAAGATCCCAGGCCATCAACCACGCCAAACATGTGGTGGTGGTAAGCAAGCTTCCTTTGTCCTGTGAAATGATTCAGAGGACAGTTATTAAATGACCTAGAATTCCGCTTCTGTTGTCTCCAGGGTGGTTGTGGAAGCTGTTGGACGTTTTCGACCACTGGATGCTTGGAATCTGCAATAGCAATCAAAACAGGCAAACTCCTCTCACTGGTAAGTAAGGTGGTCGAGGCAGAGGCCATCGTGGAGTTCAACAACAACACATTACATTTACACAGCGCCTTTCACGTCAGGAGGACATCTCAAGGCGCTGGACAGTCAAGGATTTGCACCCGAGCTGGGGTTTGGAATCAGGAGGGGCAGCAGGGGTGGTGGTGGGAGGGTGACCAAAGGTGTAGTTGAACTGGAGGGTCTTGAAGGAGGCAAGAGAAGGGGCGAGGCGAAGGGTCTCACTCCCTCCATTGGGATGGAGTTTCAAGAGCGAAGTTGACAGGTTTATAAAGATGGAGGCTTGAAGTAGTGTGGTGATAGGGCAAGGGCAATGAGATTGAACGAACACCTTATTCTGAGAGACAGGTACTCGATGGGGCAAATGGCCTCTTTCTGAGCTGTAAATTTCTGAAAATGTCCCAAAACAGGAAGGCATTTAGAGAAGGCGCTAAAACGAAACAGTCCTCACACCTTCAGGCAGCTCAGTGGTACTTGATATAAAAAGCTCCCTCGCAGTGTTTTATAGATTGGTTTCAATCGTTTTCAGGCTGAACAGCAGCTTGTAGACTGTGCTGGGGCGTATAAAAACCATGGGTGCAATGGGTAAGTGAATCACCAACAACATAACAACAACAACAAATTACATTGACAGCACCTTTCACGTCGGGAGGACATCCCAAGGCGCTGGACAGTTAGGGTTTTTCCTTAACTGAGCTGGGGGTTGGAATCAAGAGGGGTGGAGGGAAGGGGGAGTGGAGATGGGAGTGTGGCTGAAGGGATGGCAAAGGAGAAGGTCTGGAGATGGGCCTTGGAGGAGGCAAGGGTGGGGGCGAGGCGGAGGGATTTGGGGATGGAGTTCCAGAGGGTGAGAGACACACACTATATACTTGCAAAGGGCTGTGCGCGGAGGGGAGGGACGTCTGAGACCTGCATATGTGTTTCCCTGCTTTACAGCGTCTGCTTTTAACATCTTTTTTTAGGGGACTCCCGAGCCAAGCCTTCGAGTACATCAAGTACAACGGGGGACTTGAGGCAGAAAAAGACTATCCTTACACAGCACAGGTCTGGATGTTACAGTGCACATACACCACAACACTCCCAGCCATTATACCCTGCGTCCTAGCCGACTGCAGGTCTCTCTCTCTCTCTCTCTCTCTCGTTAACAGGAGACCGAGGGAAGCTTGTTAAAGGGATACAGAGAAAGTTGGAAAGCGGCATTAATACATTTTTAAAAAGGGGGGAGATTTGGGAAAACTGGCACACTATGGGGCCAATGGCTTCCTTCTACGCAGAAAAGGTTTTCGCAAGGTGATAAGAGGCATCCACACGGTTCCTGAACTTGGGGTCAATTCCTGCTAAGTCTGTGTGCAAATGAACCAAGGATGAAGAGAAATATGCAAATGGCTGATTGTACAAACCAGTGTTGGTGTAGCAACATTTTACTAAAGCGTATTTGCGTGTGTGGAGTGTGCATGTGTGTGCGTGTGTGGCGTGTGCATGTGTGGGGAGCGGGGAAGTGGTTTGTTAATAAAAACTGAATTAGTACAAAAAACAGGAAGGTTTCAGGGTTTTATGTTACAGCCACTGTGTCGTGAAGTAGGACTCCCCTGACCCATGAGAGCTCAATGCTGGATCCGAGCCCATAGATTAAACAGATAAACCCCAGTCCCTGGTACAAGATGTACCTTTATTAAACATTTTAATGCACTGAAATAATGAAGATTATTGTTGTAATTTTTTTTAATATGCTTTCACCTTCCATCAGGACCAACACTGCCAATACCAGCCCAACAAAGCAGTCGCGTTTGTCAAGGAAGTAGTCAATATAACACAGGTACATTTGGGCATTTATTATTATTATTATATTATTATTTGTCCTGAGAGTGACTACACCAGGGTCTGACATTGTAACACGTTACAGACCAATCCAGGCCAAATTTCTAAGATGTCTTGTTAGACCTATTTATATAGAATAATATAATAATAAATCCTGCATTTGATATAGCGCCTTATCAAGTCATTCGGACATCTTAAAGCCCTTCCCAGAATATACTGTAAAGTGGATTGATTGTGTATTTGTGGGTGAAACGCGGGAGCCAATTGCACACAGCAGTGTTCCCCCAAACAGTGGGATTGAGTGGCCAATTTATTTTTTCTTACCCCCAGAAAGCGATCCGCCAATCGACTAACTGGATTCCTAGTAACTGTGTGTGGAGTAAGGAAACTTACTTATGGTATCGTCCTGCCCGGGAATTGTACCCGGGTCCTCTCGCTTGCGAGGCGAGTGCTCTGACCACTAAGCTAGGGACTCCACAATGAGAGACACTGTGCAGCCAGGTAATCCCATGCTTGCTTTACAGTACGATGAAAATGGCATTGTGGATGCTGTGGCCAGACTGAATCCCGTCAGTATCGCCTTCGAAGTGACTGATGACTTTTTCCAATACGAAGGCGGTGTCTATTCCAAGTGAGTGACTTGATGCTGCCCCGGGTTTTCCAAACGCATCCAATCTTGAGTGTTGAGCGACTTTCTCTCCCGTGGCAAAGGGGTTTGCGATTTTTGGTTAACGTATCCTTTGCTTTGGCAGCTCGAATTGCGATTCCACACCCGACAAAGTCAACCACGCAGTCCTGGCTGTAGGTTACGGAGTACAAAATGGGACCAAGTACTGGATTGTGAAGAACTCCTGGGGCCCTGAGTGGGGATTAAATGGGTCAGTATCACTCTTTTGCCTGAGGAAAGTTATGAAATGAATAGACTTCCCGTGCTTCCTGTCTGGGAAAGGTTGAGTTATTCATAGTTCAACAAGTTTATTTACTTAGTAGACGAACCAGGAAAGTCCAAGGTTCCAATCCTGGCCTGTCGGGTCTGACTTCAGTGCTGCAGTAAAGATAGTCAAACTTATAGATAGTTAAACGTATAGATGCGTAGCTTGACTCCGTTGGTAGCAAGTGATTTACCTTTGGATGAGACGTTAAAACCATGGTCCCCGTCTGCCTGTTCAGCTGGTTAATAAAGATCCCGTGGTATATTCCAAAAGAAAAGCGCATTTTTTTTCCCCTGATCGCCACGGTCAACAATCCTCCACATAAAATGGGTTATTCACTTCGCGGCTGTTTGTGAGACATTGCTGTGCCCAAAGTTGTTTGCAAGTTTGCCAACAAAATATACACTTACCAGTAAATCCTGTGAAGCGCTTTGATTTGCCCCCTGACCTGAAAGGCACCATATCAAATGCACGGTTTATTACAAATGGTGTGTTCACCCCATGCTCTCTGTAAGATGTTATGGTCATAATTAATTTTTAATTGTAACCCTGCTTTTTCTTTAGGTATTTTTACATTATTCGAGGAAAGAACATGTGTGGTTTGGCCGCTTGTCCTTCCTACCCCATACCTTTACTGTGAGGTTGCTGGCAACCCCCAGACTGGATGGAAAGAATCCTGCAAGTCACAAGAAATTATGCGTCTTTAATAGGTCGAAAAATTGCAGTACGAGACGTGATAATTATCATCACTGGTGGTAATGCTCACATCACGCCCCGTGTTGTATTTTTCACAATCGCAGGAATTAAGTCGGTTTCTTCTGAAATGATGATTGAGTCAAACGCTATCTGAGCGTCAAATGCTTTCTGCGGACCTGTATTTTACACTATTATAGATACACACGCTGTGGGTTTTAGCTCGCTGAGTAATCGCACCTGATATTTTAATCGATCTTACGTAAGACCTGCGTTGTTTTTGGTGGCAGTCAAAGGAACTATATACATTCAATTTGTCTTTTGAGATGTCTCAAAGCGCTTCGCAGAATTTACCGTGAGGGCGAAGTCACAGTGCGTTTCGTGGGCAATACCAAGTCACTGTAATCGGCTCTGAAAATGTCAACAAGCGCGAGCATCGCTCGGCTTCGACCCACAACTTCGGAGAGAAAGCCCGTCGAGACGCAGTGCCCCCCCCCCCACCCCCCCCCGAGTCACATCGAGAGCATTCCCGATTATTCCTGAAGTGAATCCCGGCCTCCGACACTCGGCAACCTCCAACCATCACCGTCGCTCGGTGCCTATCGTTCGCGGGCGACTGACTTGCCACAATAAAATCCGCAATAAAACCACAATAAAATCCGTTCCGCAACGTGCCGAGCGTCCTTTTTACCTCCTGGTTTCGCGCGCAGAGCGCACGGCGGCGTTTTAATCAGAGGGAAAAGGCACCGGCGCTCCCTCCTCCCCCGTCACCTGCGCTCCCCCCCCCCCCACCGCTTTATCGTTCTTCCGTGATTTAACGACGACAACGGGCACGAACGATGACGGTAAATCCCGTTCGATGTTGACGCGGCGCCTTTCACGCGGCGAAGGCCTCCCGAAGCGCTTCGCAGGATTGACGTGCCCCCCCCCCCCCCAGAAACAGCCACGGAGGGAACACCCTGTGTTTATCGGGGAGGACGGGGTGGGGAGGAGAGAGGGGGTTGTCAGCCAGTGCACCGGGAGAGACACTCCCTTCTTCACTGATAGCGCAACCCCCACCCCCCACTGTCCTCCCCACCCCCCCTCCCTCTCTCTCTCTCTCTCCCCCCACCCTCTCTCCTCCCCAACCCCCCCTCCCTCCTCCACCACCACCCCATCTCTCTCCTCCCCAACCCCTCCTCTCCCTCCCCTCCATCTCTCTCATCCCCCTCCTCTCCTCCCCCCTCTCTCTCTCTCTCTCCTCCCCCACTCTCCCCCTCTCTCCTCCCCCACTCCCCCCCTCTCTCCTCCCCCACTCCCCCCCTCTCTCCTCCCCCCCTCTCTCCTCCCCCACTCCCCCCCTCTCTCCTCCCCACTCCCCCCTCTCTCCCCCACTCCCCCCTCTCTCCTCCCCCACTCCCCCCCCTCTCTCCTCCCCACTCCCCCCCTCTCTCCTCCCCCACTCCCCCCCTCTCTCCTCCCCCCAGTCCTGCTCTGGAGCCTCAGCTGCGAGTGAGTGGGGGGGGAGTTGGGGGGTGAGGGCGGAAGTGAACCCCTGATCAGTCTGACGTATTTCCGGGATACGGCGTTCGCCCCTCCCCCCCCCCCCCCCCCCCTCGCGCGCTCTCTCTCTCTCTCTCTCGCGCTCGTAATTGGCGCCAAAGAGGGAAACACCGCGGGACACCGGGCCCCGGGACTGAGGGTCAGGGCACAGGGCCCCGGGACTGAGGGTCAGGGCACAGGGCACAGGGCCCCGGGACTGAGGGTCAGGGCACAGGGCACAGGGCCCCGGGGCTGAGGGTCAGGGCACAGGGCCCCGGGGCTGAGGGTCAGGGCACAGGGCCCCGGGACTGAGGGTCAGGGCCTCGGGGCTCCGCCGTGTGTTCCCCGCGGATGACAGTGAAGCTGCGGCCGCACTGACAGGTAACACGGGGCCCGGCGGTGGGGGAGAGAGGCCGCGCGGGCAGCGGGGGGTGGGGGGGGGGGGAGACCCTCCTCCCTTCCTCGTTCCACCCCCTTCATCCCCTTCCCTCCCCCTCACCCCCTTTCTCCCCCCTCACCCCCTTTCTTCCCCCTCACCCCTTTCTTCCCCCCTCACCCCCTTTCTTCTCCCCTCACCCCCTTCCCTCCCCCTCACCCCCTTTCTCCCCCCCTCACCCCCTTTCTTCCCCCCTCACCCCCTTTCTTCCCCCTCACCCCCTTTCTTCCCCCCTCACCCCTTTCTCCCCCTCACCCCTTTTCTCCCCCCCTCACCCCTTTCTCCCCCCCTCACCCCCTTCCCCCCCTCACCCCTTTTCTCCCCCCTCACCCCCTTTCTCCCCCCCTCACCCCTTTTCTCCCCCCTCACCCCCTTTCTCCCCCCACCCCTTTACTCCCCCCCTCACCCCCTTTCTCCCCCCCTCACCCCCTTTCTTCCCCCCTCACCCCTTTCTTCCCCCCTCACCCCCTTTCTTCCCCCCTCACCCCCTTTCTTCCCCCCCTCACCCCCTCCCCCGTTGGACCCCTTTTATATAGACATTGCAAACACACACAAACTGCGGTTTCCCATCGAATTTCCGAACCTAAACTGGAAGCAAAAAAAAAAAGTTGCCCATCTTCTTCCCCTCTCTCTCCCCCCCACCCCCACCTCCCCCCCGCACCCCCCACCCCCCGCCATCCTCGTGTTGTCTGCGGCACGAGGGAGCGAGAGGAGGCGAACAAGACAGGAAATGCTTAATTCATTCGAGATCGTTCTCGCGTGTTCAGAGGTGTATTTGATCCAGGGGGTAATATTGACCGTCGTCTGGCTGACCCCCCCCCCCACCTCCCCCCCCCCCCGGCCCCCTCCCCCCGGCCCGCAGAGAGCGCGTGAAATAATAATAATCGTCGCATTTGATCCAGCGCCTTGGGACGTCCTCCTGGCGTGCAAGACGCTCTTCAAACGTAACTGTGTATTTTATTGTACCACATCGTTCAGACATTTTGCGATGTCTCGAAGACGCGACAAGGCGCTAGATTAACTGCGAGGATTGTTATGACCACTGCTGTTTCCGAGCGCCTCCTTCACAGGGTATAATGTAAAGTGGGTCGACTGTATTTTCGTGAGCGAAACGTCGCATGAAAAAATAATGGGTGCGTGGGTTCGATTTGGCCGTCGCTCTGCTCACTCCAGCGCCGTTTTGTTTTTGCAGCATGACGTGCCTTCCACAGAACAACCTCCGGAAGCAATTGGAGCTCCACTCGGAGAAGGGAGTCCAGAGCAAACTGTTAGTCGGTAAAAGCAAAGCAGGGTAGGTACAGTCGTGGTGGTGATCAGCTGGTCACAGTGCGAGCGAGACTGGCTGAATTCATCCAACGCCGTCCATCAGAGCGGCGGTTGTTTGTGAGCTTGCCGCAGTCGCTTCTGGGCACGAGAGGGAGTGGGTTCCAGCATAAAGATTCTAGGATTCTGTTGGAGAAGATTAGGCCATGTTTGGCTTGTCTTCTGGCAAACAATCCTTCAGATAAATTGACCATCTGCTTTAACGGCTGTTTGTGGGATTTTCCTGTGTGCAAATTGACTGCTGCATTTTGCTTACAAATGTGAAGTCACTACACATGAGAGTGCTGATCGACTGAATTCCTTTTATTAACTTGCGTGCTTTTGACTCGCAAATCTTTGAATCTAATTCTTAATTGACAGGGGATTCACATTCAAGAAGAAGACTCCCTCATGTAACATTGGAGCATCCGGCTTCCATAAGATACCTGGCAGCAGTGCTTTGAAAGACAAGGATGTTAACGCTTCTGGGAATTTTGCCACGAGCAAACCTCTTACAGCCTCATTTTTGTCAAAGCCCAGGGAACAGCAGTTAAAAATCACAAATTTGTTTGAACAAAATACCAAAAATTCAGCATTGAGCGTGGGAGCAACTTCAACTCCGAGAGAGACGAGAATAACTGCGTCCGTTTCTAACACTCAGCTCACTAAGAAGCCAGACGCAGATCATTCCTTTGAGTCCGTTGTTAGCCTGGATGATTGGGATGATTTCGACGATTTTGACACCTCGTGGAAAGGAAAAAGTAATGTGAAACTCACGTCGGCGTCGTCAAACAAAGCGCTCCAGGTACAAGGATGTAAAACATCCCAGAATTCAAAACACAGTACACCCACAGCAACTAAGAGTGTCACTACACCTGACCTCGATACGAGCAAGGTTAATGGTGAGCTCAAAGTGGATTTTCTTCCCAAGGACAGCACACACTCATTGTCCCAAAGGGAACCAAAAGGCTCAGATGATCCTGTTATCTGCCTCGTCAAGCCTCACCTGGAGGAGATCAAGAACAGTGATGATGAAGACTGCGTTGAATCGTTCGCTCGAAGAAAGATAAGTCGGTCGTCTGGTGCCAGAGTCCTTCTCAGTGATGACGAGACGGACGTCAGTGGGAATGAAGATACAGATGTGAAAAGTAAGTGATTTATGTATTGCGTTCAAAATTGCTGATTTGCTTTGAAGGCGATCAGTACAGGGTAGAGACTGGGTGCTGATTTACAGAGCTGCAAAACAAAAGAATCAGCGCCTTGTGACGTGCTCCTGGCGTGAAAGGGCTACACGAATGTAATTTGTTGTTGAATGGCTAGAATTTTAGCTGACGGACAGAAAGGAAAGCTCGTCTTCAGCTGTGCTCAGTTAGCATGTGAGCCAGGGCAAGACGTTGAGTTGGATTATTTTCTGTTTCTCTTTTTCCCGTAAACCCTTGTAATGTTTTTCCTATTTAGCTAGTCCCCCTATAAATCCTGTTCCGGACTTGGCTTAGGTAGAAATTGTGTTCGTTGGCTTTCTACATTCAAACAAACAACCTTCCGTGTAGTAGTAACAATAGTATAATCCTTGCATTTACATTTGTGCAGAATAACTTCCCTCTTTTTCTCTTGCCGACGCTCCTCTCGCCGAACACTGACAGTAATGTCCCGTCTAAAAACAGTCATAATTTTGAAAGCATCAATCACCTCATTTGCTCTTCTCTGCATCAGTTGATTTGACAGATGCTGACAGTATCCCAGATAGCCAGCCCGTGCTGGATGCTCGCCCTGTGGACCAAGTGCCAGACAGTGACTTTGAGATTGAAGATTCCGATTTTGTTGACTTTGTTCCGCCGTCTCCTCTGAAGGAGCGACTGTCTTCGCCCTCGTTGCTTAAAAGCCTCAGGTTTGTCTTGTGAACAGAATACATTTCCCGCAGAGATTGTGAGATTGCTGCGCACTTGGGGGGTTGGGGGGGCGTTACATGAAAACTGTAATTTTGTGCAGCGTTTGCATCCGGAGAGTTTGTCGTCGTGTAGATTGTGTTTCATTAAACACCGTTTTTTGCGTTGCTTTCCTCTGAGTCTCCAGAATTCAGTCTATAACCAGAATATCGGAATCAATTGATTTCACTGTACGCTATCGTATTGCATTGACTGATTGTCGAGCTGAGCGAGACAACAGCGGCTGCATGAGAAGGAAATATTGGAGAAGTCTTTATTGTAATCCTTCACCTCTCTGTCCACAGAGATTCAACTGAATTGTTGCATCCCAGAGAGAATTCTGTGAAAGCAGTCTCCTCAGTAAATCCACTGTCACAAGAAAGAAGGCTCTCCAATGAGCGGGCGTGCGTGTCAGACAGTTCAGGAGAGAGGGGTACGTACATCTTAGCCACTGTACATCTTCCTGAGTTGCTTGGATTCCGTCACTGTGTAATACTTGCATTCGATTGAGCACTTAGACGTGTAGCGATTGCTGTTGTCTTAACTTCTCAATGTTTAAACTTAGTAGGCTTGTATCTCAATTCGCCGACAAATGCGATCACGGCACATTCGAGCAAATCGTTTTGAGAGGTTTTGACAACAGCTGTATCAAATGCAAGAATTGTTATTCATTATTAACTTGACATCTTTCTTGGAAAGTAATTATTTGATCTAAGACCAGACACATCACCCACAGGGCAAGGCACCCAATTGTTCAGCGTCATGGAAAAGATCTGTAACTTGGTTGAGCAGATTCCCCTGACGCAGCTGCAGTCTCTGGCCTGTGCGGATCAGCTGTTTCACTATCGAGCTCTACGGTAGGTGCTGCCTTTGGATCATTTATTAAACTCTCGCTCGTTCTCCCTGTTTAATTCTTTCTCAAGTTCCCTTTAGAATCTGCAAATTTCTTCCAAAGTCTGTCCACAGAGATCCCGTGTTGACCATCTCACGTATTCGTCATTTTGATCTGAACCATCAGTTTCCCCTCCATCTTCGAGTCCCAAGTCTGCGTTTCCTAGTGTTTTTTTTGTACCTATAATAATCTACTGCATTTGACACAAGCTGTTTAACAGAAGCGCGAGCTTTAACGTCAATGACCCTTGATTTACGCCTTTTTTTTTCTCTCTCTTTCCAGAAAGCAAATCCTGGCCAACCAGAGTGAAATGCCGATAGTACAGAACAGGACTTGCTCGGCTGTTACTGCAATGCCGAACCATAACGCTTCCCAGAATAATATCCCTACTTATCCCGTCACCCCCGCCGTCACTCTTAATCCTTCCCAGGAGCTGAATTCTTCTAAAACGTTTACCTTCAGGAAATCTTTCTCGACTGGTTTTGGTGGTGACGGCCGTCTGAGCGACCGGGGGGATTGCTCGCTGTTGAACCAGACGGATGATCGAACGTCAGACATCCCCGTAAGGAGCTGTGCTTCGTCCTTTACCTGCAGCCAGGGCTTCCAGAGCAAACCGCGTCTCGACACGGGAAAGCTCGATCCCTACACCGGCGACCATGGCACGCTGCCTACAGACACACCTCGATCCTCACTCAGCAGCTTTGCGTACGTGGCTCCCAGGAGCCTGGAGTACTCGCGGCTCTCCTCTCCGAGCACGGGCTTTGCTGGTTTACAGGCTCGGCCTTTTGCCGATGGCGGAGGGAGTCATGTGAACGCCGGGACACCCGTCGACGAGAGCTACGACATCGAGAGCTTCGACATCGATGACCTGGACGACGAGGACGTGCCCGAATGTTTCCTCAGCCCCCAGAGCCGGTCAGGGACCGGCGGGCTGTCTTACAGGACATTTCAGCCAATCCGGGAGGAAACTGCGAAACCTCGAGCCTTTGGTGACAAAAATCACACAATATCTCCGTCTGCAACTGCCAGTGTCAAGAGGTCTCAAATGGGACGCAGCCCAGCAGGTAGGCCAGGTCACAAGCCAGAGTGTTGTTGTTTGTTTTTATTGAATATCGCTGTGGTTTGCGAAGTGAATCCTTGGGTGTAATTCGAATCACTGACCACGAGAGAACATCACGTGACTGGAGATTGACCTAATATCTGCGGTTTTAAGCCCAAGTCTCAAGAACTTCCTCTTCAACCACACCTTCGGTCACCCTTCTAAACCCACAAAATACAGAGTTAATTCACTTTACAGTATATCCTGTGATGCTGTTTGAGACGATTCAAAGACGTGATAAGGTGCTATATCAAATGCAAGGATTATTATTATTATCAGTAAATGTTTTTTTTCCTCCTCTCCTACTTTCCCTCCTGCTCACTCGGGAAGACACGCTGTTTGAGAGGAACCTCCCCAGGAATCCTGCCCTGGAGCGTTTCCGGGGCAACGATTTCCCACACTCCAAGGAAATGATGACCGTTTTCCGCAAGAAGTTTGGAATGCACCAGTTTCGAACGAATCAGCTGGAAGCCATCAACGCAGCACTGTTGGGAGAAGATTGCTTCATCTTGATGCCAACGGGTATTTACGACACAGTTCCCAGCCAGAGACGCCTCTGATATCATTTGCCAAATCTTAACATTCTTCTACTAATTTCTTCTGGGGTTTTTTAACGCCTCAACTTGGCTTTTATTAAGTCGGTTGTTTTGTGGACGTTTCTCCTTGCCGCACTGTTGAACTGTCCTCTCTCTGCTTCAGGTGGTGGCAAGAGCCTGTGTTACCAGCTGCCGGCCTGTCTGACACCTGGAGTTACCGTAGTGATTTCCCCACTCCGGTCACTCATCTTGGATCAGAATCAGAAGTTGGCTTTGTTTAATGTGAGTTTAAGTGTGCGTGTTGTTTCCCTATCATTAACTCCGTCACAATCGAAGCAAACGGTGCTGACTGACGTTTTTCATCAGTGAAATGGTACGACTCTTAGAAAGCAAGTGACACGCAGCCACCGCAAATAAAGCTTCCAATTGCATCCAGTTGGGTAGTGGCCAAACATTTACAATGTAATGTTTGTAACACGTGAAAGATAAGTTTCCACACAGAAGATGGTCGGTCATCGCTCAGTGGTTAGAGCACTCGCTTTGCAAGCGAGAGACCTGAGTTCAATTCCAGGCAGGGCGAAACCTTGGGCAAGTTTCCTTACTCCACACGCCTAATAATAATCCCTCCAAAACCCAAAACAATAATAAATTGGTCATTTTCAATCTACGACTGTTTGTGGGACATTGCTGTGCGCAATTGGCTGCCGCGTTCGCCCACAAATATACAGTCAATTCACTTTACAGTATATTCTGTGAAGCGCTTTGGGACGTCCTCCCGACGTGAAAAGCGCTATATCAAATGCAAGGATTATTATTATCCAGTCATCATATCTATGTTGGTGCTTATTCCCTCAGTGTAGCTACCTGCTCAAATCTCTGCTCTGTTCACCAGCGCATGAGTGAATAGATCTTGGAGCCTGAACTACACAATGTGATTCCCGCACACAGGAAGTTCCTCATTGTTTCTCGGGTGGTGCCGTGCGCTTCTTGGGTCAGTCTGAGCGGCAAAGACCCACTGACCTCACAGTCTAAGGACTGGATTGTTTTGGGAAGAACAGACAAAATTCTTTGGAAACCTGGTGCATAGGGAGGTGGGGTAATTGCTTGGAAACAGAATGTGAAATTGAGGATAAACCATGGCTTCTTCTCTTCCTCCAGATCGCGGCTACGTATCTGACTGGGGACAGGAGCGACTCTGACACTGCGAGTATCTACATGCAGTTGTCCAAGAAAGATCCCGTTGTGAAGCTGCTTTACTGTACCCCAGAGAAGGTAAGTGTCTCACTCTATTATGTGCCGTCCATTTGCCTTTCCTTTCCCTAGGTGGACGCTCATTATCCCTTGGTAAGAATGCTAGCAGCTATGTTCTGAAAAGGAACACATCCAAAATAAGGGTAGCTAATGCGAATTGCTCTGTAAACCTATTCCTCATTATATTGCTCAAGTCACCTTCTTAAGCTAATGAGCCACGCTTCATAGCCGTAAGTAGGCTGCAGGGATTCTTGGCAGTGGGATAAGGCTGATGCGTGTGTTTGTATTTTATAACCCTTGTTCTGCCACTATCCGTGATGCACATGCCCTGAAGTATAGAGAGGGGCCATATTATTCTGGAATTGAGTGAAACCAAATATAGATTTTGGATACAGCATTTCTTATATCTAAACCCTGACAGGTTTGTAACTTACTGAAAAGTCTTTTTTTGTTCTCTTCTCATACAGGTCAGTGCCAGCAACAGGCTGATCTCGGCGCTAATAAACCTGTACGAGAGGAAACTTTTAGCTCGGTTTGTTATTGACGAGGCTCACTGCGTCAGCCAGGTACAGTGAGTGTTTTATTGTTGCTTTTCCGAACACGTGGAGGCACAATGCAGTGTAGGTTAAGATTTAGAAATAAGTCTTCTGAAACGATTTGATGTTAAATGCGTCAAATCAAATGCCAGGATTATTCTTCACATCATTGGGATTTGGGAGAGAGGAAATGTAAGCTAGAGATGGGATGTTGAGTCCATTAATGTACATAGAGAGACAGGGAAATGTACACCTAGAGACATCTAGTACTTCAGGGACCAAATCATTGACTGAACAGCAGCTTGGCATGTCCTCCTGATGTGAAAGGTGCTATACAAATGTAATATTTTATTGTATTGATGCTCACGGAGGTTTGTGAATTCTCTCTGCAGTGGGGCCACGATTTCCGCCCAGATTACAAGCGTTTAAACGAGTTGCGTCAAAAGTTTCCTTTGGTGCCAATGATGGCCCTGACGGCCACCGCCACACCCAGGGTCCAGAAAGATATCCTAAACCAGTTGAAGATGCTGAATCCACAAGAGTATGTAGCTGTGATTGATTCAATCAATTATTTTGGAGCTGGGGGGATGCACCCACAAAATGCGCAGTCAATTCATTTTACAGTATATTCTGGGAAGCGCTTTGAGACGTCTCAAAGACGTGATAAAGCAATATAACAAATGCAAGGGTTATTATTAATAATAAAAGATTGTGGGTTTGTGCTTAAAGAGTGACCAGCAAATCCTCTGTGAGATTACTTTTAGACGTCTCAACAACGTGATAAGACGCTATATCAAATGCAAGGATTATTAGTAGTGGTAGTACTTCTTTACCAGTGCAGATTTAATGGCCTGTTTCCATGCTGTAAGGTTCTATAATTTTAAAAAGGAGATTGTTTCTACTACTACTACTAATAATCCTTGCATTTGATAAGGTGCCTTAGAGATGTCTCAAAGCACTTCACAGAATTTACTGGGAGCAAAGAGATCTTTCAGACGACACTTGGATATGAATAAAACTTTTTTTTAAAAGAAAAACATATTGCAGAATAATTGTAACTTGGAAAAATATCAGATCTCATTCGCGCTGGAGTCCTAAGGAGCCTTGTCCTTTTTCTGCAGGTTTACCATGAGCTTTAACAGAGATAACCTGAAGTATGAGGTGCTCCCAAAAAGGCCCAAGAAAATAGCTGATGAGTGTACCGAATGGATCAAAAAGAATTATCCACGTAAGTGTTAATCGGTGCTCAGGGACTTTAATATTAATATTTCTGTTTGATACAGCAACTTAAAAAGGTTTGTACAGTGAGTTACTTTGAATTATAGTGACTTAATGTAGGTAAACTGATCGGCTTACAGCAATGTCTCTCCAAAAACAAAATACATCTGTTTTTGTGGTTTTTGGATGAGGGAAGAAAGTTAGCCAGGAGTCTCTTGGCTAACTTTCTTCCCTCATCTGGGAGAAACTTCCCGCTCTTTGAAAGAGCATATAATGCCTACATTTATTATAGTGCCTTTCACATCAGAAGGATGTCTCAAAAGCACCTTGCAGGATTTGCTGTAAAGTGTAGTGATTAGGAAGAACAGGCAATTTGGTCATTGTTTAGTGAAAGCTGCTGGAAAATTTGTACATATTACATGGAGGTGTAGATAGGATGAGGATTGGGCTCAGCAGCCCAGAGTTGAATAGTTGTCTGGCACTTGCTGTCCATCTCTTGTATGAATGCCAGTTTGCGGTGAGCAACTGACCGATAGAACCAAAGCCCTCAACAAATCGGTACCTGAAACGAAAGAAGAAAATTGGGAAGGGAATCGAAACGTAAATAAATAATTCAATTGAAAGAAACAGTATCCTAAAAAACAGTTTCCTTCTGTTTATACAAAGATCCTTTGCTTGATTCGCAGGAGACTCTGGGATTGTTTACTGCCTGTCTCGGCGTGAATGTGACACAGTGGCTGAAACTCTGCGGAACAGAGGACTTGCTGCTCTGGCCTACCATGCTGGGCTCAAAGACTCCAACAGGGAACTGGTGCAAAATAAATGGATAAATCAGGACGGCTGCCAAGTAAGAGGCCCTGGAAGCATGATTCATTTCCATCTGTTATTCATTGGATTTCCTGTACGGTGGAATGTTTGTGTTGGGTGATCTGATAGAGTGAGAGCCACTGCCTTCACCTCTGGGTCCCAGAACAGAAAGGGGAGAGAATCAGGCTGACTCTTACTGTTTCCAATAGCTGGACAATTCTCACTGTCAAGCCAGAACTTCATGAATAGCTATGTGGATGGTGATACCCACCTTTCTCTCCTCCCCCTCCCACCACCCCCACCCTGTACAAGTTAAAATATTCCAACAACTTTAGGAGAGGCAAGAATAAATCCTACAACTTAGGCTGCTCTTGTACAATGTACGGAGGTCTGATTTCTATTATTCTGTGTTGCTACCAGGTCATCTGTGCTACCATCGCCTTTGGGATGGGGATTGATAAGCCTGATGTCCGCTATGTAATCCATGCTACGTTACCCAAGTCAGTGGAGGGATATTACCAGGAGTCTGGCCGTGCGGGGAGAGATGGCGAAACCTCCCATTGTATTCTTTACTACAGTTACCACGACGTTACGAGGATCAGGCGTCTTATTCAAAGTGAGTAAGACATTCTCTGTAACTCGTGATTGTGGCTGAAGGTTTGGCAAGGTCTTTCTACTGGGAGCCGCCTTAGCTTGTAAGATAGAGATCCACCGATCGGCCAGAGGATTCGAAGCGATGTCCCGAGGTTATTTCCTGCATTGAATTTGTTCCTTTCTACCTTTGTGAGTTCTATATGTAGGGGTCTGATTTGCCATATTCGCCAAAGGGTGGGAAGCGACCGAGAGGATGGACTTGGAATTCTGAAAGTTGTCAAAGTTAGGAGAAAGGGAAGGGAGGCTGTGTGTGTGTGTGTGTATATATATATATGTATATATATGATAAGAGCACGCATCGCAGGCTTCTGACATCTTTCTGTGGTTTCTGTTATTCTGACCAAAGTTTAACTTTTGTTTCTCTCGCAGTGGAGAAGGATGGGAACCAACACACCAAGCAAACCCACATTAACAACCTGTACAGCATGGTCCATTACTGCGAAAACATGCTGGAGTGCCGCAGGACACAGCTCTTGGCTTACTTCGGAGAAAATGGTTTCGACCCCAAGTTCTGCAAAGCTAACCCGGACGCAACCTGTGACAACTGCATCAGGGTAAAGGTACGTCGGTGCTGAGCGAACGGGGCCCTGTGTTCAGCAGCTTGTATCACACGCTGCTCTCTGTCGCGCTCTGAGAGATCAAATTACTTTAGAAGCCTGTTGTTCGCCTTAGTTATAATGTGGGTTCAACTATAGCGCTGTGGACACAGCAATAACTTGCTAAGGAAAAGTCCAACGTCTGGTCTGTGTGTGTGTGTGTGTGTGTGTATGTGTGTAAAATGATCAGGGAAACCTTTAAATCTTACCAAATGAGCCTTTAGCTCTCCTGCAGTCTTGCGAACATTATGTTGGCCATCACAATTTTTCAGACAATTTGATCATTCACCTTTTGTGTCTGTTTTACGACGCCTTGGTGCCTGCAATATGTGTCCCACTAAAATAAGTCGCTGCACGTGACAATTGCCTGTGAAGTGCTTTGCGTCGTCGTGGCTCAAATGTATTTACCCTTTACTCTCGTAAGTTAAATCTCTGGCCCTCTCTCCCGTTGCAGAGTTACAAGACAATTAATGTCACAGAGGTGGTGAAGAATATCGTGCGATTTGTTCAAGAGCATTGCTCCAATTCTGGTGGCAGGTACAGTGGACAGTCATCCACGAGGCTGACCCTTAACATGCTGGTGGATATCTTCCTGGGTGAGCGCAAGGTTTTGCAGTTGTAAGGCTTCCAAAACCACACACATGCACACACACACGCGCGAGAAAGCCAGCTGCAGAAGTGCAAGGGGTGTTCTTATGAAGCAGTGCCATCACAGTAAAATCACTGTGATTGTAAACCCCTGATGTGCATCCCTCCGTTACTGTGAATGCATTGCAAAGCCTATGAGGCAGCGATTGCATTATGGCAGAAAAGAAGCTGCAGTTACGGTAATGTGCGCAGCTGAGTATTGGCTCAGCACTGCCACCAGCTGGCACTCTGCAATGCCTCGGCGAGCTGCAAGAGGGTGAACAAAATAATAATCCTTGCATGTTTTGATACAATAATAATCCTTGCATTTGATATAGCGTCTTGTCACGTCTTCGAGACGTCTCAAAGCGCTTCACAGAATAGACTGTAAAGTGAATTGACTATATATTATGAGCAAAACAATATATTTACAAAGTGTTTTAGTGAGCGTAAGATTGTGAAAATTAAACAGCCTAATTCTAATAACAGACCTAATAATAATAGTTCTAATAATAGACTATTAGGTGCCGAATCAAAGATTTGCACAAGGTGTCTGTGCTGAAGATGGGTTTACAGTAAACTCTCTCCGGGCTGTTGGGAGAAGTTACAAAGATCTTGATGTTATGATATGTATGCAATCATTTGTCTCCTATTAGTATGGTGCACTGTGGAGTCTTTGGTGCAACTGATATGCCACATGGAGATGGGCAGTGCACCATGCAATGACTGACTGATGCTTTCAGCTTAATCTCCTTGTGCCTCAATTAATAAACACAAGCCTATTTATTAAACTTTCCCCAGGTGGTAAAAATGCCCGAATCCAGTCGGGTATTTTTGGAACAGGAGCTGCCTATACCCGGCACAATGCCGAAAGACTATTTCGAAAACTGGTGCTGGATAAAATTCTGCGCGAGGATCTGTACATCACAGCCAACGACCAGGCAGTGGCTTACATCGCCAGTGGGGAGAAAGCACATACAGTCCTCATAGGCTGCCTTCAGGTACACTCCATTTGTTCTTTTATTTTTCGCCCACAAAATAAGTTTTACTTTACAATATATCCTGTGAAGCATTTTGAGACGTCTTGACGACGAGATAAGGTGCTATATCAAATGCAAGCCTTATTATTTACTATTTTATTAAGTGGTGATTGTCACCTGGCTCAGTTGGTAGCACTTATCTTTGCTTCAGAAGGTTGTAGATTTGAGTACTGTTTAAGAACTTCCGCTTAAGTCTAGGCTGTAGAACTGGAGAGTGATGCATTGTCTAAGCTCTTGTCCTTCAGGTGAGACATTTAAAGAAAATGGTTGCTCATGTAACAAATACTTGAGGCTGGGTTGCATTAGCCAAAAGCAGATGAAAGAGATAGTGTGTTCTTCTACTTCTGTGTTAGCTGTTGCTTGCTTTGTTAAACTCAAGAGTGCTTTAATTTTGTTTTTTTAAATCTTTTTTAAGGTGGAATTTCAGGAGACGGGAAATACCAGTAGCATCCGGAAGCAAAAGAACTCTGTGACAAAGAATGTTTCCAAGCGGCAGGAGATGGTTCAGAAGTGTCTTGCTGAGCTCACTGAACTCTGCAAGAAACTGGGCAAAGTGTTTGGAGTCCATTATTTCAACATCTTCAACGTTGGCACCATCAAAAGCATTGCAGGTACAAAATAGGAGAGACTCAGAGTCAGCCAACTTCCCCAGCAACTGTCAGTTCCTGTGATTTGTGTTTTTTTTTAAATAAATGGATAAAAGCAGCTGGGAGTTGGGAATTAAATCAAGAAACAAAGTCAGAAGAATTGCGTTTACAAAATAGGGTTGTTCATGATCTGAGCTTTATTTCAGCTCCAGTTTCTTGTCCTAGCTAACAATCCTCCGAATCAAGAATATTTGTTGGTTTCTTGTGTCTACAAAATGTCGGCTACTTTTGCCTACAAAAATACCAGCCTGGATACTGGAATGATTACTGTAAAGTACTTTGAGCCATTCGGTAAAGCAGTAAAAATGCAAGTTCTTTTCCTTAACACGGTCTAACATGTTTTGCACAGAATCGTTGTCATCAGACCGGGAGGATCTTCTGCAGATTGACGGAGTCACTGAGGACAAACTGGATAAATATGGAGGTGAACTCATTGAAGTTCTCCAAAAATACTCGGAATGGCAGCTACCAGGTAACCCTAGTTTCTAACCTCCATTTCTACAAAATAAATTCATTTACAAAATATATGGTCACCACACTTTACAATAATTCCTGTGTGATGCGTTTTTGAGACCCATGAAAGGCATTGTAACAAATGAGAATATTATTATAAATATTCCCAGGTTTCCAAAGGCAGCCATCAAGAAGAAAGGGAGAAAACAAGTGCCGAGGGATTTCCTTTATGTAAAAAGCAATGATAGGGACTCTATTTTTTAAATCTCCTTTCTCTTTCTTCACCTTCGCCCTTTGCAATGATGCCCTTGTGTCAACAGAATATGACCCAGTGGACAATGAAGACAGATGGATAGACTGCAGAAATTCTCAGCATGAGGATGAGCAATATTCCGAGACCTCCGAGTACTTCAGCAGCAACAGAAAAAGCAACAAGAGGAAGTGTCGGAAAACGCCGTATTTCAGAAAGGCAAAGAAAAGAAAGACTGGGCAAAACAGCAACCAATCTTCTTCGAAAAGGTAACCGTGGATCATGCACGCACACCATGTGTACACAGTGAGATCATGGATACAATACGTGAATTGCCTATGGCCATGTGTATCTGATCTTTTCGATTCGTTGTCAACTGGTTGCAATTCGAGGCTATAAATGTTTTGCGATAACACGGCTCTCGAGTTCGCTTCGATGCTGGCTCCTTCACCAAGCTATCTGATCTAATTCCAATACCCTTTCTCTTTCTCCATATTGTTCCTCCCTCTTCAACTACATATTCAGTTCCTGTCATGAGTTCTGAATCCTCGCATGTTGTCAGAAGTGAAATGCTCCTATATAGGTGTGTTCATCGTTCTCCTATTATTTGTCTAATGCAGTTTCAACACAAAGTATTCATCGACTACAAGACAGTCCAATCCTAAACAAGGAACAACATCCTGGAAGACACCGGGAGTTATGCCGCTGCCTGTTCCTCGAAGCAACAATCGGCGACCCTTCCTCAAGCCTTCATACTCCTTTGGATGACTTTTTTTAACTGCCTCATGTTTGACAGGAGTTGTGCAATGTACAGTTCTCTTACAATTGCTATGCTGCGCCCTGGGCTGGGATTAAAATCAGACTTCGGAGCTGCTAGCCAGCCTGGAATTGAAAATGCTCTGGATTACTTGCAGTTCTTGAGTGAATTGAGCTTCGTAAACTGCCTTAAAGCTGCTTTGACCAATGGAAAGTGATGACACTAGTAGAGCTGTGAGGCTGAGGCAGGTTGTTTCCAGATTGAACGATGATGGAATTCGTACAGTAAAATTATTTTCTGAAACTCAACGAATGTCTGGTTCTCACCAAGTTGGTTATTTATAGATATCGTTCTCCCCACCCCGCACCTCATGTTTAATTAAAATGTTAGACATATTTAATGAATGGCTGTGATAAGGTTGTTATGTAAATGCTGTATGTTATTTTGATGCTGTATATAACTTGCATACTCTGAAATGTAGCCAAGTGTAGTTTAACTGCTTAAGATATAATTGTATATACAGTATATAAGTAACTTGAGGGTTCTTGGGCATTTTTCCTGCCATAAAACAAATCTTTTTCTCCCGCTTCTCTCTGGATCGTTGCATATCTAACTACAACTAGTTGCTGCATCGAGCCTGCCCTTACCGGTGTGGGCCATCTGGGATATATTGTTCAAGGTTTTTAAACCAAGATAGGGAGGGGAGTGACAAACTAATGCACTGTACAGTATATTGAGAAGTAGGGCATGTTATTGGTGTTATTGCTTGTGGTATAATTCTTACAGTCGATGCTTACCTCAGCCAAACTGAGTGATTTTAATTTATGGATTACAGGTTTACGGATTACAGATTTAACAGTTTCCATTTTATGAGTCCCAAGACTTGTTTTTTATGTTGCAATGAATCTTGTTGATCCTAATCTGGATACCCCATCGCAGTAAGGATCTTGGATATTTAATCTTATCTGAAAGATAAAATGTGTGTGAGTGTAGAGGGGGTGAGGGGGGGGGGGGCAGCTTACCATTGAATGATGTCTTCAAAGCTTCAGAATGAGTCTGACCTGTTTTGTATTATCTATTTTACCCCCCTCCCCTGCTTATAATAAAAATTCTGCTGAAGGCTGTCTGGATGTATATATATATATATGCACACACACACACACACATATTGTGTATTAAAAAGGTAAGAAATGAAGCACGTTTTATTCATTTAAAATAACATTTCTGCAAAAGCTCACAATCTCGAGGAGACATTCTGGATCCATGATCCTGAGTTCAATTCCAGACAGAGGGCCAAACCTCGGGCAAGTTTCCTTACTCCACACAGAGCCTAATAATATTCCCTCCAAAACCAAAAACAATAATAAATTGGTCATTTTCAATCTACGACTGTTTGTGGGACATTGCTGTGCGCAATTGGCTGCCGCGTTCGCCCACAAATATACAGTCAATTCACTTTACAGTGTGTTTCGTGAAGCGCTTTGGGACGTCCTCCCGACGTGAAAAAGCGCTATATCAAATGCGAGGATTATTATTATTATTATTATCCACGCCGTGCAAAGTTTGCTAAACTTTTCAGTTGCTTCCCCCCCCCCCCCCGCGATTGAAACTTAAGCATATTTAAAAGAATACAGTTTTAAAAAAATAATGGCTTTGCAAAAGTGAAGTGGGTTTTCAGAGAGGGTGAGAATTGTGTGTGTGTGTTTGGGGGTACAGAAGGGGGGGGGGAAAAAAACACCCAATTGGGGGCTGATGTCTTTTCAATTTTTTTTTATATATATATTTAAAAAGAAACCAACAAAACGTTCCCCTTCTCTCCCCCCTTTTTGAAGAGCATTTTTTTTTTTTTGCCCAATTTGAAAACCACTGAGAGATCCCCTAAAAGTGGTCGCTCTGCTGCTGCTGCCCCCCCCACCACCCACCCCCCACACCCACACGACACCACCACAACGTGGGGCTACTTTGGGCGGGTGTGGGGCGGGGACTTTGGGCTACTTTACGGGTGTGTGGGGCGGGGGGCGGGGACTCCGGGACAGTACGGCTGATGCCGCGGGCTGCGCGCGCAGTGGGGGGGGGGGGGGGCGCCAAAGCCCGCGTTTCGTCAGAGCGACCGTTGGGCGGCGCGAGCGCGTGAGTCAGTCAGTGAGTCCGTGAGTCAATCAGTGAGTGAGTGAGTCCGTCCGAGGCGCCGCGTCTCCGCCTCACCTCACAACCCGCCGGGACCCCTTCACTTCACTCCACTCGCCACCTCCCATACCCTGACCCTCTCCCATCACACTCCCCCCCCCCCCCTCAGCCTCACCTCACTCCCCCCCCTCAGCCTCACCTCACCCCCCCCCCCCCCTCAGCCTCACCTCACTCTCCCCCCCCCCCCCTCAGCCTCACCTCACTCTCCCCCCCTCAGCCTCACCTCACCCCCCCCCCCCTCAGCCTCACCTCACTCTCCCCCCCCCCTCAGCCTCACCTCACTCTCCCCCCCCCCCCCTCAGCCTCACCTCACTCTCCCCCCCCCCTCAGCCTCACCTCACTCTCCCCCCTCAGCCTCACCTCACTCTCCCCCCCCTCAGCCTCACCTCACCCCCCCCCCCCCCCCCTCAGCCTCACCTCACTCTCCCCCCCTCAGCCTCACCTCACCCCCCCCCCCCCCTCAGCCTCACCTCACCCCCCCCCCCCCCTCAGCCTCACCTCACTCTCCCCCCCCCCCTCAGCCTCACCTCACTCTCCCCCCCCTCAGCCTCACCTCACCCCCCCTCAGCCTCACCTCACCTCACCCCTCAGCCTCACCTCACTCTCCCCCCCCCCCTCAGCCTCACCTCACCTCACCCCCCCCCCCCCTCAGCCTCACCCCTCCCCCACCTCAGCCTCACCTCACTCTCCCCCCCTCAGCCTCACCTCACTCTCCCCCCCCCTCAGCCTCACCTCACTCTCCCCCCCCCCCCCTCAGCCTCACCTCACACCCCCCCCCTCAGCCTCACCTCACTCTCCCCCCCCCCCGGACCTCCTCACTCCACTCAGCACGTCACACCCCCCCGGGGCCCAGGCCTCCACTCTCTCACACACGCGCGCGCACACACACACACACTCCGGGCCCTCACCTCACACCGACCGCCTCCCGTCTCTCACCTCAACTGCTGGGGCACCGTTTACCGACCGACTTTTACCGACTGTTGGGACGTGTCGCCGAGAGGAGAGGAAAAAAACAAAAAACTCGGGGCCGAGCGCGCGGTGTGCGAGCGGTTTGGGTCAACGGGGACGGACGGACGGTAACCCCCTCCCCTCCCCCCCTCCTCGTGAGAGAAGGGAAGGGAAGCCGCCGGACATGGGCGCCGACGGCAAGAGGATCGCGGGGGCCGGTGCCGGGGTCGGCAGCGGGAAGCGCTCGCGGCCCGAGCCCGAGCCCGAGCCGGCGGGGAAGCAGCAGCAGCCGAAGCGGCGGCGGGGCCGGCGGCGGGGCCGGCGGGCGGGGCGCGCGGTGGTGGCGAGGCGAGAGGCCGGGAAGGTGGGAGCCGCCTGGGCCCCGGGGAGCTCCCGGGCTCCGCCTCCGCCGCCGCCGCCTCCGCCTCCGCCGCCGCCGCCGCCCCCCGTACCCTCCTCCGTTCGCCGAGCGCTTTCCTCGAGTGATAGTTCGGACGGCGACAGCGATGACCCACTTCCATTCGCGGTAAAAGAAATAATAATAATAATAATAATGATGATGGTAATCAATCAATGAATTAACTCATTAATGAACCATCGTGAAGCCTCGCCCTGGGGGTCGGACGCGACACCGGGGGCGAGGTTTCACGATCATTTATTAATAATAATAATCGCCCCTTCGAGAGGCCTCCGAAGCGCTTCGCGGGCCACAGGCGCCCTCAATAACCGCAGTCGTACTCGGCGGTGGTCCTCGCCGTTCGACGCCGCGGCCCTTCCTCGCGTCTCCGCGACGTCTCGGAGCGCGTCGCCGCGGGGTAAGACCGTTCGCCCACAAATATACGGACCCCTTTGGCGCCCGACGACGTCTCCGGAGAGCTTAAGAAGGCGTAGCGACCGTCTGCGGCAGCAGCGACGACCGGAACAGCCACAGAATTACACGCGTGAAGCGCCTTTCACCTCAGGAGGATAGGCGAACGACAGCCAATTTGCACACCATGTCCCGGAAAACGGCGATTAAGTGATTTTATCGTAGGGGGATATAACGTAAGATAATGTGCTGTGTTTGGGAACTGTAGTCAGAAATCTATATTCAATCCCAATGTTGCGACACTATTTCTTGTAATTGTTCCAGTTACATCAAAAACCCGAGGAGCTGTCGGCGTACGAGAGGAAGCGGCTCAAGAACATTGAGGAAAATGCCAAATTTTTTGCATCTTTACGTTTACTGGAGGTAAAAGAGGATGAAGATTGCTTTCAGTCTAACCGTAGCAATCTCAGCGATATTTCCCATGTAAAGCGTAACAATTATAATCTTTGAATTTGAACCCCCTGGTTCTTCAAATCGGATTCCACCAGTCAAACTCTTGAGAGACTGTTCAACAACAACAACAACAACAAGATTCCATTTATAGAGCGCCTTTCACGTCAGGAGGACGTCCCAAGGCGCTGCACAGTTGGGTCATGACCCGAGCAGGGGGGAAATGGTCAGGGTGAGGGGAGGGAAGGGAGGGAGCGAGGAGGGGGGAAATGGTCAGGGTGAGGGGAGGGAAGGGAGGGAGCGAGGAGGAGGAAGAGAGTCGAGAGGGGAGCTGAAGGCACGGTCAAAGAGAAAGGTTTTGAGACCGGCCTTGAAGGAGGAGAGGGAGGAAACAGCGAAGGCACTGGGGATGGAGTTCCAGAGCCTCGGTGCTGAGAGGCTGAAGGCCCGACCACCGATAGTAGGGCGGTTGGGGCGGGGGATGTGGAGCAGACCGGAGCCAGAGGAACGGAGGGTACGGGCAGGTAGGTAGGGGGATAGTAGGTTGGAGAGGTAGGAGGGAGCGATGCCGTGAATGGCCTTGTAGGTGAGGATGAGGATCTTGAAATCAATCCTCTGGGGGATGGGGAGCCAGTGGAGGGGAGCGAGGGTGGGTGTGATGTGGTCGCGGTGTCTGGTGCGGGACAGTACACGAGCTGCAGAGTTCTGAATGACCTGCAGTGTGGAGGGAGGTGGCGGGAAGGCCGGCGAGGAGAGAGTTCCCATAGTCCAGCCTTGAGGTGACAAAGGCGTGAACTAGGGTTTCAGCAGCGTGAGGGGTGAGGTAATGCCGTAGTCTGTACATAATGTTAAATGTTTTCCCCAATTTCACGAATAATACTTTGGATCTTAATTGGAATTGGGGGTTTGCGGAATTGTATTGTGAAAAAATCGAGGTCGTCTTTTGGTAGCTCATTCTCTGTCAAAGTATGAACCATTTATATGTGTTTAATCTAAGTGTGCAAATGTGTCTGACTCTTGAAGGAATTTGATTTTTTTTTCTTACAGGCTGCCCAAAAGCTCCGGCAGACGGGTAAACCAAAACCAAGAAAAAGACGAATTAAACCCGAAAGGTATATTTTCAAGTAAAGACACTCTGAGGACAGTTCTGGGGAGATGCTTCATTTTTGAAATTTCCATTTTTTCAAATGAGGCATTAAACCAAGGGCACATTTTTCACCGCAGTTATAGTTTAAATATTACCACCTTCTAATTTATGTTAATGATTTCTCACAATCACCAGAGAGTAAAACGATGGAACTCAAATTTAATGGTTTAACTTTGTGACCATTTTATTCGAAATATCATTACATGAATTTTACACGTTTGATGCTTTCAGCAAAAACCCTACTACCTCTGGAGCGCGACGGTCATTGCGTCTCCTGAGGCCGAGTCTTGCAGGCACTACAGTCACAGAGCCAGCGGTGGAGCCAAAAACATCGCTGGACGTAAAAGAGTTGAGTGAGCCGGTGGGTAGCAGGATTTTGTATGTGAGGTTAGGTCTCCAGATAATAAATCTGTATTTACTTAATTCTTGTTGCTTTCAGTGCCTTCAGGATAGTGACATTTTTATACTTATGTGGTGAAGGTTATCTATGCAGAGTGCTTCATAGCAGCATTAAGCGCTTGTAGGTTGCGTGCAGAGTAACCTGCTCTGCTCCAAACCTGCACTTTAACCATAAACTCAGCAAAATTCTTACTTGTGCAGTACCAGCCATCTTTATGAGTGAACTGGTCCTAAATCAATCATTTTGTGTTGGGGGAGACCAGTGTCCAGTAACAATTGATTTAGAGGAACTGGTGAAAACATGGGTGGAGATTAGTCAGGTATTATTTCTAGACCTGCATTGGGATACTTTAAATGCACCCCAAAGTAAAGACAAATTTAAAATATTCTGCCTAAATGATGCATCTCTTGGTGTTACAGACGAAGATGAAAGGTGTAGAAAGTGTACCATCAGCAAAATTGAGAGAGTAAGTTTTTAAACAAGATTTGTTCAAAAAAAAACTGGATTTTTAAATAATTTTGTTATATATATAGATGATTTTCCTGCAGCGTTTTTACTGTTTTTTTAATCCTTAATGTGAACAGATACAAGTTGAAACTGAACAGGATGACCATCCGACTTGACCAAGTTGCGAAAATGACTACATCTCGATTGTGCTCAATAGCTATTCATCCTTCCGTGGACAAACTCTTGATTGCTGCAGGGAGCAGGCGTGGACAAATTGGTCTTTGGGATCTGGTGAGCAGATCCTTGCTTATCTCAGCCCTACTCTCTTCACCATGTTCTTATTTTCCACGTGCAAAATATGTGCAAGCTTGCCTGTTTTTAGAATGGAGATTGGCTTACATCGTGTTTCTAAACCACATTTGTTCCCTGCTTTATACAAGAGTACAAAAATAGCGCTTGTTGACAGTATAAGCTTGCATACCAGCACCCTGTTGGCTTATGTGCCTGTCGCCTAGTAAATGGTGAATTTTCGAGCTGTTCACTTAAAGCCAAGGTACATCTTCTTAAGGGTGGAAACTGCCAAAGTTGCTATTAATTCATATGCGACTAAATTGTAATTATTGAACCCGTTTTTAATTTTAATTGCTTTTGCTTTATTTGCAGAATTCCCCGCCGGATAACGATGCAGTCCGTCTCTTCAAGCCTCACATTAATCCTATTAACTGTTTGTGCTTTAACCCTTATAAATCTGAAGAATTGCTTTCATTGAGCAACAATGAAAGTATTCTCTGTGGAAACCTACCCAAAGGCATCTTTCACGAGGTGGGCTCAGCTAACCAACTCCTAAGTTTCCTCATTATTATTTGATATTTTGTTCCATTGAAATGCGTTAATGTGATGTCCAATTTCTCCATGTGTAGTTCAGTTTGTATAAAAGGCAACCGATCTTTGAGCAATGGCCGCATTTGGTACAGTGAATGACCGTAGGGGGAAGAGGTAGAAATCCTCCCTTTATAAACGTAATCGTAAAGTAGATGATTGCCACTTTTTTCCATTGAAAAAAAGCTTTTCATAAACTTTTTGGAGGAGAGGAATTTCTTTTAGGTAGATTTTATTTATAAAATGACTGATTTGGATGTCACCTATATCACCAGTGCAGTTGAATGTGGTTTAAATATCACTTGATTGAATGTTGCTAAGAGAATAAACTTCATTTCTGGCTTGCCTTGTTTCTGTTTTCTAGTATCTGATTTAGATCACACAAATTCCTTTGTTATTAAATTGGTCCCTAGGTGTACAAGGTCAACTACCTAAGCATGTCTTCTTTTGACTTCTTGAATGATGATGGTGCAACGCTGATCGTCAGTCACTGGAGTGAATATGTGTCCCTCGTAGACAGGCGGACACCAGGGTGAGAACCATTGATTAGTTCAGTGCAGGTCTGCCATGTATGCCTCTACATCAATAAACCATCAATAAATATCCTGTAATTGCTCTCAAGTGCTCCTGTTCTCTGCTCCTCCTCCCAGCCCTGTGCCCTCCACCCATCCTCACCCCAGCTCAGGTCCAAAACCTCTGATTGTCCAGCGCCTTGGGATGTCTTTCCGATGTGAAGGGTTCTCTACAAGTGTAACTTGTTGTTGAATTGACTCACGCCGGAGTACAGCTCCTTGAGCGTCAACAACACTTGTTCAAGAAGCCATTCCCCATGTATAAGCATGGGCAGTGAGTGTAGCAGAAGGGTATTTGTCTGTTGGACTTCAAATTTAATTCTAGTTGTGTATTCATCCTGTATGCTCTCTTTCCCTCTAGTTTCTCCCGACTCCCCCACCCCCACCACACACACACACTCTCCACTGATCATGATGAGTAATAACCAGGGCTGATTTTCCCTCCTTCCCCCACAGATCAGGGATGCTGAATCTATTCAAGAATATCTACTCGTACATTGCATGGTTTCATGAGGCGTTGGGCCAACATTTACAGCTGTTCCTAACAAAAATATCTCTGGAATTCAGCAGCTTTGGCCCCCCCCTGCTGTATGCAAGAAGCTCCCTTTCACTAAAATGCTGATGGTTATTAATAATTCTTTTTGCTGCCACAGATGAAACTGACGATTCCTGAATTGAATGTTTCCTTATTGAATCTTGCAGCACTGGGCCTGAATTGGTTGCCAATTTGAACATGGAAAGGTTCAGGATGGTCAATGTCCACCCAATGCAACGACAGTATTTTGTAGCCACTGGAGCACGGTATGTTCACTAAACATTAATATAATTTTTTGTTCATTGTTTGCAATGATTATAGTATAAGACCTACTTTTGATGCTAAATCAGTAAAATTATGCATTATCTTTGTGTCTTCATGCTGTTATCTTTACACTTTTGGCTGTACATAACCCATTAGTGTTTCTAGGCTTTCTCATTGATAAGAAAAACCTATAGAGTGCAATTACTTTACTTTGGTTGTCAATAAGTTAATTGTGCACAGAATGAAACAACTTTTTTTTTAATTCTTTGCCAGGGCTGTAAATATTTATGATATCCGATATTTAAAAGAAAAGAGTAAGAGGGTCGCCTGCCTGGAAAATCATCATAAGAATATAAACTCAGCCTATTTTTCACCGGTTACTGGCAGGAGAGTGTTAACCACTTGTTCTGACGGTATGATCAGGTATGCCATTGAATGGCAGCGTAAGTAATTGTATGGTTATTAAAGTTGCATTCAGTTATTGAACAGATAAGGTGCAGTGTAAAGCTCCCTCTAATCCAGAAATGCGCCCTTAATCCCCAAGTTTAAAAAAAATCACCTCTCAGCATATTCCTGCTGCAACCATCACCAACATCTCTCTGGATGATCTAAATACAGTATTTTACATTGAGGTTTAATACTAGTGAGATTTATTAAAATAGGTCTAAGGTGACATACTTATTTTTTAACATAATGACCTATTTCATATTGTATGGGAATACAATGTAATTCAGATTTTTGTACAGCAGGTCTAATCACATATTAAACAGATTGAGATGTAGGCACTTACTGCTTGTTATCCCTGGACACGTCTTGGGAATAGTGGTGTCGCTCACTGTTAGAAAAAATGTGCTGTAGTCAGATGTCTGTCTGTTATGCAGCTAGAAGAGACCCAGAATATATATCATGAAATACAGAGATTTGGTTCATTGGAATTCTGTACGGTGGGAGTGACTGGAAGGATTTAATCCGTTGGGATAAAGAGTGAATGACTGCAGAGATGTAATCCATTAGGATTCTGTACAATGGGACTGATTGGGCTGAAATAAACCTTGGGGGATATTTTGATTGAGATATGAATTTATTTGAAGCAAACTAGTAAAGAAATACCCAAATACCCAAATCAATTTAATGTTAAACAATAAATAGAAGGAATTCCTTGAATGTGTTTTTAATGTAATCTCAAATGGAGCCTTTGATGCTTCCCCAGGTATTAAAGCAAATGTTTATAAAGAGCAAAATATTTACATTTCTTTACGTGATTTGTTTCAGATTATTTGATATCAAGGGTATGACTTCCACGATCCCTCTTAAGACAATAAGGTAAGCAAACTGATTAACTTACTAAAAGAGTGCTGTGTGCTATAGTTCTGTGATCACATGAAAGAGACAGTTGCAGTGAGGTCCTTTCACGATCTATCACAATCTTTCACAAACTCCAAAATCCAATCCCCTATTTAGTGATGTATTTGCCTGTTGTACTGCAGTTTGTTTTGCCGCAGCACAAAGTACATCGCATTGATGCTGGAACTGCAGTAAATTGTTTGGCACTGGAGAGACATTGATTTCCAGAGGAGGTTGGCTTCATCACCGCAAAGCTCTTACCGGAGCTTGCAATTCTCTCCTCACAAGTTCAGTATTGATGGCACAAAAACAAATGAGTTTCAACCTTAATCGAGGGATCAAAGGTATTATTTTTCAAGATGTCAACCAATGGGAATACCATTAATAGCAAAGTTTGTTTGTGAAGACAAATATTACCTGTAGGATAATAACTGAATGTAAAGAATCCAACAATCATGAGAACTCATTATGCACAATAATGTTAGGGAATCGATTAATGTCTTGAACTCCTCGAGTTACACTCATCCAAGTCTTGAAAAACAGCAGTGGGTTTCTGCTCAGAAAATCCTTAGAATAATTTTGCTAATAAATTAAATTTTTATTAACCAAATAATATGGTTATTGCAAGAGGTAACTCCAGTTGATAATTTGTTATTCAAACTAAATTATTGAACTAACTAAATGATTCTTTGATATCAAATGTACAAGTTTATACATGATGTAACCCCTGTATTTTGTTTCTGTTAACCCTGTGTGTTCCTGTTTAGTTGCTACCTCCTGTTGTCTTTGAGCACTAACCTGGTTCTTTCCTCTACCTCAATTCTCACTAATTTGAATGTACTTGCTACTATATGCATTCTTAACTTTATTTATCAGAAAGTTTATTGTTTGTTTTTAAACAGGCGCAACCATTTCACAGACCGTACGCAAACTAAATTCCGAGCTGTGTGGGATCCTCAACAGGACGATTTTTTCATAGCGGGCAGCACGGTGTGGCCGAGACAGATTGAAGTTTTTCATAGCAGTGGAGCCATGGTGCACGCATTCAGGGATCCAGACTGTCTTAGTTCAATATGCTTAATCAATGTGATGCATCCAACAAGGAACATTCTGGTTGGTGGAAATAGCAATGGGAAAGTTCATGCATTCATGGACTGATTACATTTCTCCAAATTGTATGCAAAGTTTAAGGTGAAATCTCCTGGGTCATTCCAAATCTGATGCTGTAACGGTCCATTTAAGCACTATACACTCTGAATGGCTAATGCATAATTAAATAACGCTGGTAGTTTGTCCTCTGCTTCTGACAAATGAGCAGTGAAAACATGTCATTTGATAAAATAGAAGCATACAATACTTAGAGCTCCTAAATATGTGTACAACCGTGTGGATGTCAATCCCAAAAGTGCAGTCATGGAACGCATAGCAGAGAATACATCTGAAAACGGTGCTAAACTAGCAAAATGGTGTGTTTGTGCTGAACAAAGAGATTGTAAGTCGCGGAAGGCAAATTGACCAGTGTTGCAGTTGACCACACTCAGTGAGCCTGTGGCACTTATCATGCAGCTGACTGACTCAATTGACTTGCTGTAAACAATCTGTCTCCAACATGAATCCTTTCATGTCATCTTATTAATGGGTTCAGATATATATCAACAGAATCGCATCTCCTGAAGCCTCCCATTGGATTGTTGACTTAATTTAACTGACAGCCATTCAGCAATTATAGTCATTTTAAATCTACGATTCTTACGTCTATCCCTGTTGATTCCATTAGTTTTTCAGCTAACGTGAGGCTTTTCAATAATGTTGCCTGTAAACTGCAGCAGAAAGATTCACTGATGGCCAGAGAGATCCAACTGGCGGCCCAAGGGTCAGATGTGGCTCCCTCCCTCCATTTCATGTGGCCCACCTGCTTCCTCCATAACCCATAAATGCTATGTTTCTGGAAGAGAAACAAAACTATTGCTTATGTAACTTGAACGTTTCTCGAAAAGGGCATCTAGGCCTCAGCAGCCAGAAGGTTGGCCCACCTGAAAGGCGTTGAGAGGTGCTTATTAAACTCTGGGTGACAACTCTGCTGTTGACCTATTAGAGAGCCGATGAGCTTGGTTTTCGCAGCGATGTAAAATGGTAATCTGAAACAGAGAAGACTTCCCAGGAATTTTGTAAGCCGGCTGCATATGAAATGTATGCCACAGAACATTGATTATAATATTTATTTTATCATTCAAATTTTCTGAGAAATTTATGAAATCTTAAAATGTCTTTCATACAGAATATATTGACTTTTAAAATATCTTAACACGTGCCTATATTGTCTCCAGGAGATAAGAGTTGAGCAGTACACAGTTGCACTCGGTTATAACACACACCCCAGCAGAGTATAATAAGTTTCAGCATGTGCATAGTGTGCAAATGCATTAATTACACTTCCTGTTCATGGCCTGAATGCACACTGGATGTGATATCAGCATGAGCTGGTGATCCAGAGGCACGTATCTGTGGTTGTTATAACCTGGTTTGGGAATTTATGGACTTGTTTCACTGTGTTCTAGTGCAGTCCTAATGTATTCTGGTCATTTAGTAGAGAAATGTACATTAAAAGAGATTTCTGTTTCAAATTGCAGGTTTTGTATCCTGCATTTATTCTGTGGGTTACTGACAATTGACTTGGTTGTTGTGATTAAAATTAACATGATTTAAAAACCATATTCCTACAAAATCTGTTTCAATTTCACAGCAGAATCTTGTATCCAGGGTGCTTTTAAAAACACTATTAGAGATTTTTAAAAAGCACATTGTACGTAATAAACTCGGGTACTCGCCTTCGATAAATGGTTTTGTAATGTTAATTTGTCCGATCAAGAATAATCTTTGCGGAATGCATACATATATATTTTTTGTTTTGGTCAGCAGGGAAACCCGTCACCATGTTTGAGTATCCAAAACAAACTGGGAGCTACATATGTGTATGCCTTGAAAATGTCTGGAATGGAATGTGCCCTCTCTCCCTCAAGGCATTGTGTGCTGCTTACCTAATTCTAGAGGGTATTAGGCACAGCTTGGCAAGAGCCCAGGCTTGGGGACCCCAGAGTGTGTCATGACAGTTCCACCCATAATTATTTTGCTTTTAAATTTTCTAAACGTTTATAGAATGTTTGCAGGAAATGAATCGTTCTACCTTTCTACTGGTGTGGCGTTGTGAATGCTGGCGTTGCGGTAGGGAATGGCCTGATTTTTTGGAGCAGGATTTGTTTGGTCTCTTGGTCCTCCTTTGTGAAGAAGGAAATGTTCAAAGTAGTCGACGTGCTTATTGTACAAAACTATCGCAGAACCTGACTGGTAACAAAGGCAGCTATTAATAATAATAGTAATAATAATCCTTGCATTTGATACAGCGCCATTTCAAAGTACTTCACGGAATATACTGTAAAGTGAATTGACTGTATATTTTGTGGGCAAAATTCAGCAACCAATGTGCACAGCAGCGTTCCCCCAAACAGTCGTGGATTGAGTGACCAAATTATTATTTTTTAAATCCTGGTATGGAAATTATCCAGTCCTTTTTTTTAAAATGGGGTAATGAGATTCCACAAATTCAGCATTTCTGTGTTAAGTTTAACTCGTAATAAAGCGGTGGGTGTCGGCAATCCAGACTCATTGATTGCCCGGCAAGCTGGCGAGGAGGGGGGGGGGGGGGGGAAAGCACACAGATGGCTGACTGGCTCAGCTCAGCCAGAGTACAGTCAACCTCCCAGAGTAGGGGAGCAGTAGACTGGATGGGCTTCTCGGGCCTCCAGACACAGCAGTGACCTTGAGAATCTGCTCGCAAAGTCAGCATCAGAAAACCGACTGGATTCGCCTGAAGGAAGACTACCTGACTGCCTCTGCTTAGCCCCGTTCCCGAGCCAGACCAGTTCCTTTTCCTAATTCATTCGTCCCACAAGTTTGCTGATACCCAGAGCCCTATTTAATAATAATAATCCTTGCGTTCGATACAGCGCCTTATCACATCTTCTATAGACTTCGCGAAGCGCTTCGCGGAACATACTGTAACGTGTAGTAACTAGGTTCTGTGAGAGAAACGCGGCAGCCAATTGCGCACAGCAGTGTCCCACACACAGTCGTGGATTAAGTGACCACTTTTTTTTTATTTCTAAGACGTTTATAAGGCGTAAAGCTGATTTTAATATTGCGCTGTCTCTGGATGCCTTTGTACTGTAACTTCCTAACCTCTTGACTCGTCCTTTTCTGCTGTTGCTTTGGTGCGAAGGTTTTTGGATCCCTGGCAAGTCAGGCTCTCTCTTGCTTGCCTAAAGGAAGAATACTCTCATTTGCGAGTTCCATGTCCAGGGCTGCAACACGGAGACAGATTATTGTAGCTATTTCTTCCCACTTGGTGGTGCTAACGAATAACAGTGCTAAGTGATCCCAATCCTGGCCACTACGTGGCTGTACCTGTAGATCACTGTATTGTTCTGTTTATTCTCAAGGACAGAGGTTCGAGAACGGCAGTGAAGATACTGCCGTTAAAATACTTTTAATCCAGGTGCCAGAACCTGACGTTATCCATCCACCCGTTTCCTGCGATCTCTCTCGCGTCCCCGGTCACCTTGCTTTTGCTATTTTCTCTTCTGCTGTTAACGTTACATCGTCCCTTACAAAAGTAATCGCACTCGCATCCCAGCAAGTGTAATGCATTCCACACCCACTTAAGTCTTATCTCTTTATCGCCCGCCATTCCAAAACTCTTATTTACATTCCTGGATTTAACACCCATCTTATTATTTTGCTCTTATCTTATTTTGCAGTCTTGAGCAGTAGCTGGCCCATCTTGAATTAAGGAACCTTGTCACTTTCCATTCTTCCCATCCTAGCCGTCCTCTCAATCATGACCTCACACAGCTAATATGGATGTAAAACAATGATTAAACAGCTAAATATCCAGACCAAATCAGCGGGTGGATTTTAATGAGGAGGGTGTCCATTGTTGGTGGAGGAAGGGGGAGTTGGGATTATTGATCATTATTGGTTGATACGGCTCATGCTTCCAGTATTTAAAGCTGGCACCCAGGGAGCTAACGCTGTGGAGTTGATGTAAATTATGAGGAGGTTAAGTACCAACCAGCACACTTGCGATGAGTCTCACACGCCCGGAAATCCTCTGAATGGGTGATGATTGGAAATGTTGAGTGGTGACACCATCTTCTTGCCCTTTATCCGTCCAGTCAGATTACTTTTAAGCATTCTGAAGCATGCTATCACATCAGGTTTCCCACCCTCCCCCTCCAATTCCCAATTCTACGAGGCCTGACATATATACACACACACAACCAAACCACTCCGTAACTTCCTTCATTCTCTTTATTCCAATTGAGGACGCCAGTCGATCAGCAGCAGCATTGTAAACTGAAGCAAACGCTCTCGGTGTGTCTTGACATATTGTTTTTGCGTTAAGTCACTCGGATCCGTGTGTGTGTGTGTGGTAGTGGGTGGGTGGATGGGGTTGGGGGGAGTAAAAAACCTTCATGTGGTTTATCCATCAAGCTTCTCTTTTCAAAGGACATCCCAGAAAGCCGTATGTCAAATACGATCACTCACACAGCAATTGGGTTTCACCTTTCTTTCTGGCAAACTGTTGAAATCCGACCAGCAAAACGATGATCAAACAAAAACATGTATAACATGAAGATACTTCTGTTCAGAGGGCAAGTGCCTGTCTATACAACCACTGGATATTCAATATATTAAACATTGAGGTTCAAATAACATCTGTTCGCTAAATATTCATTATCACGTTGGTTGGGGCAGGTGGTGGGGGGGGGGGGGGGGAGAGAGGTAAAGTCTTTTATCTTTTTAATAAAATCTGGAAATATAACATCTCTGAACATCACTAGAACGAAAACTCCACACTTTACTGGTTTCTCGGGAGTGGGGGGGTGGGGTGGGAGATAGGGGCTAATGGTTAATCGCTCGTTAATTCTAACAGTTTTTATATAAGCACGACTAAATCTGAGAAGTGTTCTGACACAGGGAGGAGAGAGGAGAGGAGTGGAGACAAGGGCCTTGGGGGGTAAAGAGGGGGTGGGGGGTAGTGGGTTGAGAGAGGGGCTTCAAGATGGGTTCTCCTTACTATTTTTGTCTCGAAACAAAAAAATATTTTTCTCCTCGGAATCTTGATGGACTCTGACGTCCTTCACAGTTCGAGCCGTCCAAGAAAGACAGATCTCTAAAGCCTGACGGTGGTGCCACAAGAGGGGAGGGAGATAGGATTTGCCCACACTGGCAGACACTTGGCGCCATGATGTTCTTCTGAGTTTCTCCTGGGCGATAGCTCAGGTCAGAGATGTCAGGTGTCAATGAGAAGGCTTAGCAGGTACCGTACCTTGCAGGCAAACCATCGCCTGAGGGGACAAAAGTATTCATAATGGAACTGTTCAAACTCTGGGGTCTGTCGTATATCGCGTAAAAAAGCTAGGTCAATATCTGACTCTGTCAGGGCTATCAGGAGGAGAAGCAAGGCAAAGAGGAGTCCAATAGTCACAAGCAGCAAGCGGACCACACTTAAAACAAATGTATTCACCTGTTCTGTCTCTGGCCCGGGGCTAAGCTCTTGAGGCAATGCACCGCCCGCTCTAGCCAGGTCCTCAGTCCCTGCGGAGGCATCAGCCTCACAGTTTCTCTCCTCCTCGATGCTGCGGTTGTGGGGGCTGCCGTTGCCCTGTCTGGGGAGCAGTGATTCCAGGCTGGGGTCGGCCACCGGGGTGGGGAGCACGCTGTCCGCCGGGCTGTACAGCTCGTCGGCGATCACAAACGACCGCTCGCAGCCCTCCGCGCCAAGGTACTTGCTGGCTCGGACTCCGAAGGACTCGGTGTGGGACGTAGAACGCACAGGGGTGGAGTGGGCGCTGTCTCGGAGCGACTCTAAACCTAGGAGAGAGGAAGGGAGACGGTGAGAGCGAGAGAGGGGAGGGTTAGCGCTGGGGGGAACCGGGTTACCAGCAGAAACTGAGCAGCCATGAAGAACCCATGGAACCAACAAGCATCTCTGTATTTCACAGAGCGAGTGCCATCCAGCTGGGAAATAAACCAGGCTTTTACTGGTTAAACGTTCCCTTACTCTCGTCAGCATCTGCTGTAAAGGGAAGCGAATTCTGTGCTGTCAGCGGTACTGAAATATCCCAACACCTGGTTGGCTCTGGTACGAAATACTGTGCGAGGAACTGGAGTTAAGCCTCTGACAAGGTTACTGGAGTGGTTGAAAGCTGTAATCTGTGTAGCCTGGAAAATAGAACATGATCTTACTACATAACACCAAGACACAAGGTCCCAGGGACATACCTTTCTATGAAGTGAACCAACTAACGGGCGCTTTCAAACGACAGTAATAACTGCGGCCCCAGACACAGCGCCAGTCACCCAACAAGTCGCAGCAGGGAATCGCATGTGTAGTAACTGGGCATTTTGTGGGAGAAACGTGGCAGCCAATTTGCACACAGCACAGCAACGCGCCCACACAAAAATCACGCAGAGAATGACCCGTTTTATTTATTTGGGGCTTTGTTGGCCACGACGCCGCCAGAGAGAAACTTCCTTCCCTTTTCGAACAGCGCTGTGGGATCTTTACGCCCACACGAAAAACGAGCACTCTTTATTTAGCCAGCCGCTGAATAAACTCTGATACTTCACATTCACCAAACGTTAGGAGTGTCACTGAATGAATCATGTATAATATTATTAATAACCTGTAGGAGGCACTTAAAGGCACACGGAGATGTCTTTGCCTACTTACCTGCCTCTGGGATGAACCCGAGATAAAGAATTCTCTTTATTTTTAATCGGAGGGTGGATGGGGCTGTGTGGACGTCACATCTACTGCCCCTGTGTTCTAAATACCTACATTCTCTAAATGTGGAGATCTTTCCCCCCCAAACTCTGTGTCCCAGAGCCCAGAGGGAGACACGGTATCTAAAACCCAGTCTCAATGGATTTCCAAGGGGAAGTCATTCACAATGATTTCTTTGTCTCGCCTCATAAAAGCAAACGTTCTGAGCTCCTGCCTCTCCTCCCCTTCGCTTGCCTATCATGGGATACGGTTTACAGTTTGGGGCAGGACATGTCCGAGCGACTGCCAGGATGGTGGAAGGCCAACTGGATGGACCTTGGTCTTCTTTCGTCTAGCGATTCTTCCACTGCATACAACAAGTTCCCTGCGATTCCACGTTGCGCCTCTTTACATTGCAGTCACTGCGGTTGAGGGTTAATTATTATGGTGCGTCAGGTTTACAAAACTCAATCTGTCCAGGTTGAAGTATCAGCCTCAGAACAGCAACTTGTGTTTGTACAGTGCCCCTCACACAGGATAGCGTCTCACAGCGCTCGACAGCAGCTAGAGAAGAAATCATCCGCTTATGCTTGATAGGAATTCCTCGCAAAGTGCTTTCGAAATCTTTCTAGACTGCTGTAAAAACACGATAAAGTCCAAAATTTCTTTCAAAACAGTGCCAGCCAGCACCGCAAATGTCCCAGCTCAGCAACAGAACAGGCCTTTAATATAATCTCCTGCCAATTGACCCCTCACAGTCTTATCTGTATTCGGGCAGCTGCTCCGAGCAGGATGCTGACGGAGACGCATTCTTTGCCAGCTCTTTGCCCCGTTTTATCAGCTGCTGCAGCATTTTTATTTGGGGGATTTATTCCATTCACCTTTTCAGCAATTTTCTAACCCTATAAAATATATACATTTAGTCTCCAACGGGCTGGCTAGTCGTGTGGACCACTTTAGGTTCGGATCCCCATCCAACAGTCCCTCCACCTCGCCCCTTCCCCCCTTCCTCCCTTTGCCTCCTTCGATGTCCATCTTAAGACCCTCCTCATTGACCGCACCTTCGGTCACCCTCACCCTCTCTGCCCTCCACACCTCCTCCTCCTCCCAACTCAGGTGCAACTCCGTGATTGTCCAGCACTTTGGGACGTCCTCCCGACGTGAAAGGCGCTGTGTAAATGTAATGTGTTGTTGTTGTTAAAGAGGACAATAAAGTCAATGAAGATTTCTGTTCAGTAATTGTTTTGACCCCAGATTGATAGGGAGCGACCTCGAGCTCTGGGCTGATCCTGGATTGATCCAGGTGCTGAAATGCCCCCATCTGATGCCCGCAGTGGGGAGATAAACACTCCCCCACAGGCATGGAATGTGCAAATAAACAGCTTTTAGTTTGCAACGATTGTTAACATAGTGCTTTGAACCGATCAAGAACTTGCGTTTTTACAGCGCCTCAAAGAGTCACGGCTGGCAAGGTGTAGTGACTGTTTTGTTTTGCTTCGCCCTGCCCAGGAATCGAACCCGGGTCCTCTCGATTGCAAAGCTGATCGCCAGCAAATAAATGGCACGGTCCATGTCAGAGCTGGCTCGCTCCTATGCTTCGCTGGTCCTCAAAGCAGGGAAGCAATTCCCAGACACCCGGGATCGCACAGCATCCGCACGGATACAGCCAGCTATAAATATGCATCACACACACTTTTCGGCAACTTTATTAATACACCTCAAAAATCCCTGTACCATCNAAAAAAAACATCAGAGATGCTGATCCTGGGCTTTTGGGAGAATGCGATTAAAGCAAATGCTGCTGAAATAATAATAATAATAACAATCCTTGCATTTGATATAGCGGCTTATCACATCTTCTAAACATCTGAAAGCACTTCACAGAATACATACTGTAAAGCGAATCGACGGTGCATTTTGCGGGAGAAACACGGCAGCCAATTCATCCCAGTGGGGAATGTCAACCTCAGGAAAGATTCGCTCCGTAGTGACACTCCACTCCGTAGGGCATCAAAGGCTCCCGGGATTGGTAATCATGGGGTTAATTCCCACTGCTATCAACATTGATTCCTTCTGCCCCAACCTCAGAACCAACGCAGCTTTGGGATGGGTGGGGGGGGAACTCTGTGTCACAACACAATGGATGCACTATCTAATGCAAAGTGCAAGATATAACAACAACCACAATAACAGACTACATTTGTACAGCACTTTTCACATCGGGAGGACGTCCCAAGGTGCAGGACAGTCAGGGATTTGGATCCGAGCTGAGGTTTGGGATCAGGAGTCCTAACATACAGCGTCTAACATCTAAACTACTTTCCAACAGAAAGCCCATGATACTTAAAGCCAGGCTCCAGTGTTATATCGGGAGGAAGAGGACCTTCAACACTATTCAACAATCCAAATTTTTGCACGGAACACCAGCGGTGAAATCTCACACTCCGTTTCCTCCCTGTCTCTCCTCATCGCCCTGAAACTCTGTGCTCACAGAGCCGAGTGCAGAATTAGCCAATTGCCATTGGGAATCAGAGCTGTGGAGCGTGTAGTGAGGGGTGGGGGTCATGGCACGAGTGCTCTGGGCAAACCCTCCCGGCACAACAGCATTTTCAACAACTGGCTACACTGAGCACAAGCGCTGCTCCTTAACCCATCACACACACTGAGCAAAACAACCTCCTGGGAGCCCGAAAATCACATCTGGGGGATTGTTGGCCCGGACACCAGGAGAAACTCTGTCCTCTTTTCAACTAGTACTGTCGGATGTTTAATGTCCACTTGAACAGGCAGACAGACGGGACCTCGGTTTAATGGCTCGCGGCACCTCCAACAAATTTTCCTCCCCAATCTCCACACGACACTACATTGGAGCGTCAGCCTGAACTGTGCAAACAGTGTGGTTGTCTCATCTCATCAGTCACTGACAGCGGACTGACCTCCCACTGCCCAGCCCACGTAACGCCAATACAATGTGGCACCAACACTGTCTCTCTTGACAGGACTGTATATCTATCACCCAATCACCCAAAGTGACAACCTGGTTTGGACCCAGATCAATATTGCAGGATGACTAATGCCTTTTAACACTGTCCGACCCCCACCCCCCCCCACCCCCTACTCTGAGCTGTCAGAGAAACGAGGGGAACTCACAACCTCAGACCTAATCTTAACCCAAAAATCTCTTTCTTCCAAGCATAGACTGGACAACTTTCCCATTCGTTGTTGCGTTTCTTTGCAAATTGGTTTAAGCTTGTCCGTGAGATTCCAATTACCCCTTCCTCCTTTCCTTCCCTCCTTCTCTCCCTCCCTCCCCCCCACCCCGACCCTTCCCCACCCACGAGACAGCTTACATCAGAAAACGTCAATTGAACACGACTGTTTGTGGGGACGCTGCTGTGCGCAATTGGCTGCTGCGTTTCGCCCACAAAATACGCAGTCAATTCACTTTACGATATATCCTGCGAAGCGCTTTGAGACGTCTCAATGACGTGATAAGGCGTTATGTGAAATGCAAGGATTATTATTATTATTATTGAACAACAAAGGTACTGTATATTCCAAAGCAACTTTTCAAACCATAAAGGACATACAGTTAGTTACCTCTTAAGACAGGCGTTACATTAGCTGGCTGCCTGTCTTGTTGGCTGGGGCCGGTCAGGGCAGGGAAGAGGGGGAGAGCACCGAGGGCCTTGCTCAGAATCCTGGGTCCGAGACTTAATATCCGCACCTTGACGTCCCGATAACAGTGGTTTATCATCCGCAGGTGGACGCTGACCTTAGTCTTGATTTTGATCAGACACTTAACCATGGCGGCAGCCAAAGATCACAACCCTTCCTTCGAGAGACTGATAAGAGAATTTCCCCCCAAATCCTCCTTCCCAGAACGTCTTGTGGTGGAGCTCGGTGTGTGAGATCTACATGGCCAAGGAGAGGGAAGTGGCGGGCGGGCAGACGGGGCTGGAATGTAAGATCTCTGCCCCGGTCCAGTCCACTCTCAGAAGCAAATAAAGCGACATACATGGGCTAGTGTGCTGGTGACATCATGCTGACAGCTATTTATACCAGAGCTGGTGGAACCATTTATAACTCAATTGGCAGCCACTCCTCCTGCTCCAGACAGGCCAAATGCTATCACATAGCAGATGATGAAAGCCTCACAGATCCCAGGAGCTCTTCAATTCCCCTCTTCGTATCCCATCCTAATCCTTAAATCCCCTTGAATAACGCACGCAGCATGTTAATGTCCTCAGTCACTAGTGGAGTTGAACGGGTTGGCTCCTGGGCTGGCGTCTGCGTGATTTCTTTCCCCCTCCTCTCCTGCCCCCACACCCCTCCCTCCTGATCTCTACTGTTTGTTGGGAGAGCAGAGGCGAGTTGCTAACCCCACAGCAACCAGGGGGTAGCAAGGTAGGAGTCACAGCTCTTAATGCAAGCTCTACCTCCTTGAATTCCAACAAAATAAATAAATTCCATTGCCCCTCTCCCACTATCCATCTCCCACTGTCCATTGCTCATCTCCCCGCTTTCACTGAGGTGTGGTACCATTATAATAATAATAATCCTTGCATTTTTTATATGGCGCCTTATCACGTCTTTGAGACGTCTCAAAGCACTTCATGGGATACACTGTAAAGCGATTTGCCGGTGTATTTTGTGAGCGGAATATAGGCACCAGAAGCCTGGAATTCACCTGGTCTCTCCTCTGCCTCTATATCTCCTGGCTCTCGTATTCTCGCTTCCACATTCAGGCAGCAGAACAAGAAGCTCTTTCCCACAAGTGGCTATTGAGACTGAGACGAGAATGTTTGAAGAGGAACAATTTAAAGGTCTGTGTAAACGGCAGGAGATTGGGATGAGAGCGAGCACCAGACACAATGAGCTGTATAACCAACTCCTGGTGCTGTAAGTTCTATCGTTGCTATACACGTGAAGCAGCGGCGTTTGTGGCTGTGGTGGAAACTGTCTGGGAACCTGCTTTAAATAGCCCGTGCTGAGTGACATCAACACATGCACGGTGCAATCAATATCTACAAGTCCCAACATAGACTGTGACACCTCCCCCTCTCCTCCCCCTGCCCCCTGCAGCTCATACTGTCAGTCAGTCTCTCCTAATGAGCCCTCAACACCCCCCATTCCCATCCCCACCACCACCACCGCTGACAAAAACCTCCTCGTTAATCGGACAACATCACTTCTGACACACACAGAAAGCCCACTGTCGTGCTCGAGAGCAGCCAAACCAGACTGAGAGCTCCACATATGTTCGCCACCCTCACTCAGAGATTTCCCTGTGTCTGGAATGGAATCCGGACATTGAATTGAGTTCCTGATGGGGATAACCTGACTTGACCAATGGTTTTACACCTGAACATTAGGGGGATCAGCAAACCTGCCCTGGAGACACAGACCTGAAGACCTTTCACTTCTCTGTCATTTACCTTCCATGATGGAGATGTGGACAGCTCTCCGGCGGGTCCTGGGAACGCTGCTTATCCTCGAGCCGTGGGAAATGGAGGGACAGCTCCGGCTGGGGACCAGCCCCGCCCTGTGGGACACACACACTGAGTCAGGTTTAGCCCCAAATGATAGCAATTGTTTAGTGTAGGAAACATGATAGTGTGTCTTAATTGCAAGACTGAAATCTCCTCTTAAGCTAATTATCAGCTCAGTGACAGTAACTCGGCTGTACCAGATATCAAGACACTGGCTTTCGAAGCCAAGGTGAGCATTTAAATGTGTACCAGTTACTGAACAACAACAACAACAATAACAACTTGCCCTTCACGCAGGATAGCGTCTCGGAGCGGAAGAGAATTAAGAGGTAAAACCGAAACGGTGTGAAGGAGGGAATGTGGCCCTTTCAGGCACCGAAATTCCACTTAATCTTAGCCTGTAGGACATTGTAAAATGAGTGGAAAATCTTTAAATCCAGACTGAATCCGGAAGCCGGTTCCTTTTTCCCAAAATTAAGGGAGGGAGGGAGGGAGGGAGGGAGGAAGGGAGGGAGGGAGGGAGGGAGGGAATGGACGAACGAACTAAGGCCAAGTGTAAGATGTCGCACAGTCCTGAGGGCTCATAAATCTTAAAGACCAAATGGTCCCAATGGGCTGAGAGTCGGTCTTGAGGTCTGTCCATCCTGACTGCAGTGTGTCGTGGTCACCGCTGGGTGGCGCTGCTCTGCACACCTGCACCGTCACATCGCTGCTCACCTCCAGCCACGAGATTGGGTCCCAACGAAGAAGGTTCTTCGCCGTCCCCGAGTCCAGGCCCTTCGACTCACCTCTTCCCTCACCTCCTTCAGCCTACGCCTCAAGACCTTCACCTTTTGACCGTGCCTTCGACCGTCTTTACACCTGCGTTTGCAAGTGTGTGTGTGCATGTTTGAGGGGTCGTGTGTGCATGTGTGTACGTGTGTGCATGCGTTGGTACGTGTGTGTGTGTGTGTGTGTGTTTGTATGCCTATGCAGCGCTTGGAGCCAGATCTGGGAGCCAGAGCGAGATTATCCCTGCAGTTACCCACTCGGGGCTACGGCTGAGATTCACGGGTGGTTTAGCTCAGGGCAATGTGGACCGTTCTCACCTGTGTATTTCGGGCGGGGAACGTTTAATCTTGGCGCTGGACTCTATGACTTCCTTGGCCACTCTGCCACTGAAAGAGAGCAACACCAATGGAACAAGTCAACATGGGGGGACTGCGGTTTGAAACAAAGAGCTGCTGATATACTGTATATAAAACCATTCACAGCTCTGCTGCTCCGGGTACGTTTCCAAATACAATACAATACTAATCTCCGGCGCAGTCACTGTCCCAGGGGGAGGGGTGGATGCCCTATAACACGTCAGACGAGAATCTCTGGCCAATGGACTTTAATAATAATAATAATAGTCCTAATACTTCTTTGTATTAAAATCCGCCCGCAATGATTTTACTCTAAAAATCTGCTGCAGAATCTGCTTCTCAGGGCTCTTTCTCGTTTCATCCGACATTATTCCCTAGTTTTATCATCTATCACCAACTGCCACCCCCCCGTCACCGCCCCAAACCCTCCCCCACCTTCCTCTCTGACATCTCCACCTTCCTATCTTCCCTCTGCCTCAGTTCTGTTCTGAACGCCTCCTTATCATAGGCGACTTTAAACTCCATATCCCCTCTCTTGCTCCGTATCTCCAAGGGCTTCTCCTCCCTCTCCTCTCACAACCGCTCCCTCTGCCCATCATCTCTGCTACCCACATCCATCCACGGCCACACGCTTCATCTGGTGATCACCTGGACATCACTGACAATTTGTTGTTGTTTTCTTTGATTTTTCACTCTCTCTCTCTCTCTCTCTCTCTCTCGCTCTCTGTCTGTCTAATGAAATGTTAGTGTGCGGTAACCTCTACTTACTGTGACTATTTACCTGTATCGGAACCGACTTCCTTTAAAGAACAGGTTGCTGCTGGATACTGTCCTCACCTGACTGGACTTTTCAAACCTGTGCCGGGGGCAAGAAAAAAAAGTCCCGACATTATTAAACCCCAATATTCCCAAACAAAATGTTTTGGTTTTTTTTTGGAGGGATTGTTACCGCCGGAAATTGATCGACCAATCGACTAACAACCAAGAGGGACCGTTGAACACCGTCCATGTTAGAAGTAACGTGGGCTATGTTCTTTAGATTCAATGAAAAATACATTCTCCCCTCCATCCATCCACTCCCCCCCCCACCCCTCCCAACCCCACCCTCAAGAAACACTGAACAGTTCTTACTTGTAAAATGCCTGGTTCTCCACCCCACATTTCCACATGTGTTTGCACGCTTCAGGAGTCGGTGCAAAATACGTCAGGATTATTTTCGAGTCCTGACGAAAAAGGAATAAGAAAAGATTCGATAAAAAGAATATTAAATGTGAGCTCTCTCCCCCTTCCCCCCCACACCCCCCCCACTCCTTCGGTGTTGAAAGCCTAAGGAGGCGCAAAGCTTTGGAAAATTTCTAAACCCAGTCTTAAGTATGTTTTCTGCAGTTCCCGAAAAGACCAATTTGTTAGCATTGCTTTGCTGACTGTTTGAGCTGCCACGGAAACTCATTCTAATTGAACAGACAGACGGGATCTCGGTTTAACGTCACGGCACCTCCGGCAACGAAGCTCAGGACACAGTGTCAGTCTGCACCGTGAGCTCAAAGTCTCCAACACTGGGGTTAGTATTTAATGGTGCCCAGAGTGACCTCTGTGTCTGACTGAATGACAGACAGACAGACAGACAGACAGACAGACAGACACAGACAGACAGACAGACAGACAGAGACGGACGGACGGACGGACGGACGGACGGACGGACGGACGGACGGACGGACGGACGGACGGACGGACGGACGGACGGACGGACAGACGGACCTCTTTTTGAGTTGCATAAATGTGGAATGTTTTTCCCTCAAACTTCATCTTGGTCACTTCGTTCCTGAGAGGAAAACGCAAGATGTCAACTATTCACCTGGGAAAATCGCTTCAGGGAAGCGGTTATTATTATCATTATTATTATCATTATTATTATTATTACTATCATCACCACAGCAGCATTACTCACCATTTGATAAAATGAACCCTCTTGTTTCCCTGAAGCACCACGAATCCGTACGGAGTAAAGGCCAGGAACGCTGCATTTCCCGAGACGTCCTGCACAAAACAGATACGAGCCCAGCCCAGTCCAGTCCTTGTTTATAATCCCATTCCTTCCCTCCCTCCCTCGCTCTCTCTCTGCCCACTCTAATCCGGACGCCCACTGCCAGCCTGTACCTTGCTTGGGTGCGGATCCACTCCATACGTTTCCAAAGACTGAGCTTTCTTGAGAAAATTCAACTCTGCTACATCAGGAGACTGCCCACTGCAGAGAAACGTGAGAGAGTGTCACAGAGACTGAGAGAGACATCATTCTACATAAGACAATTCTGTACGTGCGTAGAATACCAGACAATGACCCCCCCCACCTCCCCACGTTAAAGTCACTTCGCAGCTGTTTCCTCCCCTCCCACCCCCCCACCCCCATAAAATCAGTCACTCACTCGCTTCACGCTTGTTTGTGGGACGTTTGCTGCGCATAAATCATTTCCTGTGGTCACCAACGTAATACAGTCACTACACTGAGATGTCTCAAAGCTATTATTATTATTATTATTATTATTATAGAGAAAGCCGGGCACTTTGAGGTCGAACCTAACACGTGTTCAATTTATTTTCTGATTGCTTTGGGGGAAGAAATCCTTTAAGGTTAATCTGAGAGTCTGAAACTGACTGTTCCCTCTCCAGCTCTTTCAGCAAAAACCTATTGCTTCTTGATGTGCTACAGGGACTGGGAGATAACGGCTCGAGCTCAGCTCCCGCGTCACTGAATGGGACGTGTTCGATTTGCATTGTGCACACGCGCTCTCGCGCACACACACTCACACGCTCGCTCTCGCTCACACACACGCTCACTCACAGTCACACACACACACACGCACGCACACACACACACGCACGCGCTCACACACACGCTCACTCACAGTCACACGCACGCGCACGCTTGCTCGCTCGCTCACACTCAACTGTTTTGTCGGTCACTACCTGAGTTCCGCTTTGTGGATGTCGGCGATCTTCCTCTCCAGCTTCTCGGAATGTTTGGGAAAGAACTGGAACTTGGAGCTGTAACCCTCCGGGTGTTTGCCCGGATCGTAGTCCCCGATTTCAGCTGGAATTGAGAAAATCTGACCATAAACAACAACGGTTTAAAACACGAGAGGCCCCTCCTCTCCGGCGCACAGCCACCAGCTGCTGCTGAGACCTTCACAGGAGGCAGAGGGGACCGGAAGGGAATGGGAGGGAATAACCGGTCCGCAACCTCTACTCTGCAGGCTCCCACATGCTCCATGACCCACCATCGGTGTATGGACCTTCAGCCCTCTCAGCCCCTACTCTTTGGAACACCACCCCAGAGTCCCTTCGCCTCGCTCCCTCCGTTGCCTCCTTCAAGGCACGTCTCAAGACCCTCCTCTTCGGTCACCCCCTAACCCCTAACCTCACTGCCCTTCACAACCTCCTGATCCCAGCCCCCAGCCCCCAGCTCAGGGAGTTGGGAGATGTCATTAGGGCTGCAGTACAGAGGAGCAGTGAAAGGAGGTCTCAGACTGAAGGAACTTACCCTGAAGTATATACCCCGCCAGCAAAGCTGCATCAGAGGTCTTGCATAGGAGGCGTCCGTGATACAAATCTCTCTTTATCTGAAGGAAGACGAGGTACCTGAGGAGCAATAGATGTCGAGTGTTATAAGAACACGGAAACTCAGTCCTCTTTTCGATGGTTTATTTGTTATTTCATTTGAAAGAAAATACTGCATAAACCACAGGGGATTTTCCGAAAGTTCAAGGGATTTCTAAAGAGGTTTGTTGGAGTCAGTTGATCTACACAGGGAACACACCAAATACATTGATAGAGGCGTCCCAATGACGTGATAAAATACACAGTCACTCCACTTTACAGTATATTCTATGAAGCGTTTTGAGACAACATGATAAGGCGCTACATCAAATGCAAGGATTATTATTAATATTATAAAGCACTATATCAAATGCGAGGGTTATTATACTATTATTTATAGCACCTTTCGCAACAAGAGGATGTTTCGAAGCGTTCTTCAGAACGAAAATCATTTCGTTGCATTAAAATTAGACGTAACCCCCCCCAAAAAAATCCCCTGTTCCTAGAAAGGTTAAATTGTTCTTTTTAAACAATATTGCGTTAGTTTCTTTTCTCAATCCCCCCCCCGAGTGCTGTGAGTTTGCACAGCTAATTTCACACTGTGCTGCCCGTGGCTCATTCTGTCGATCAGCACTATCGCCCCATCCTCTGGTGTTGACTCCAATCTTTGGCTTCACTGCTTTGTGATTTATATTTGTTCCCCGGCTTTCAACAACACCATAAATCTTTCTCACTGACAACTCACAATGGCTTCCTAGTGTCTTTTGATCTGTCCGGAACCTCGGCTTTTAAACAACGTTGGCACCAAACAGATGCCACATTTCTTACATAATTATCACTTTGACCCTTGCTTTGGTGGCCCCCTTTAAACCTCTCCCATTCACCTGCAAACACAGTCACTACACTTCACTGTAAAGTCCTGTGAAGCGCATTGAGACGTCTCCATGACATGATAAGGCGCTATAGCGAAAGCAAAGATGATTATTATATTCTTATTTTCTCTGTGAGACTCTGTTAAAGATCTTCTATCGAAAAAGGTGTCCTGGTCAACAATTCCTCAGATAAAATCGGTCGTTCACGTCATGACTGTGTGTGGGACGTTGCTGTGCATGAATTGGCTGCCACGTTTGCCTACAAAACACTACGCTTAAAGAGTATATCCAGTGAAGCGATTTGCGTCACCACCCAACATGAAAGACCCTACATCGAATGCAAGAATTATTATTATTATCATCATCATCATCGTGGAAAAACATCTTGCAAATCAAGGCGATATCCAAGGACTGTTCCTTTTAGACTCCATTAAAATGACAAAGTTTTGCGTATCTTTTCTGGCCGATTATTTTAGGAAAAGAGGAACAGGAGTAGGCCATCCAGTCCCTCGAGCCCGTACTGCCATTCTATTAGATCGTGGCTGATCTTGTAAATGTTTTCTTTACTGTCAATTGCTTCCCTCCTGCATGGAGTCGATGGCACGTGAATAATGGCTGCAGATTGGCTCCAGTGCATCTCAGCAGAAGCGATCCATTATAGGTTGAAAAGCTGAGAAACAGCCTTTAAGTGTCTTTGTGAATGTTGGCTCTTAAAATTGCTGACACACTATTTTCGGCCCAGTCTCTCGCTCACTTTCTCTCTCACTCTCTCTCTCTCTCTCTCGCTCGTTTAGTTACCATTACACCTCCTGTCAAAACGTACTTAACCTGACCGAGGGTTGTGACCAGTCACAGCTCTTACCTGGTTATTTCCTCTCTCAGGGCTGAGGGGTCAGTGGGGTAAAACTTGACTCGGAAGCACATGGTGTAGGGGGGCTGAGCTGGTGAGAAAAGACGAGAGTTACAGCGGCGATCAGGTCTGTTTGGCCTTTAAACATGGGCTGCACGAGTGAGATGTGCCTCCTGGCTAACCAACAACAACAACAACAAATGACATTTATACAGCGCCTTTCACGTGGGAAGGAACGTTCCAAGGCACTGGACAGTTAAGGGTTTATTAACCCTGGCCACTGAGGCAGTGGGGGTGTAGCTGGGAATTTTGATCATGGTTTACCCGAGGGTTGGGATGTGTTGCCCGGTAGGGAGGGTCTCGTTGGGATCTTCGCGGGGAGCTTACTATCAATGTATCTAATATTGAGAAACCGATAACGGCACCGTCCGCCTTACAATGAGAAGCCTCATTCACATCGGGAAGCTCTGAAGACTTACATTTCATCTGTTTAATGATGGACTTGGAAATATCCAGCCAGTGCTGTGAAGACAAGAACCATAAAACACCCCGTTAAAGGTCTCTGGATTAGAGCAGTGAGACATAGCTGAGCCGATGTGTTAATAAGTGACCAAGCTGGGCTCATGGACCTCCATGGCTGAGCTGCTCACCCCTTCGGGTCTCTGATAGAGTCTAACACTCTCTGTGCCCTCTGCCCAGCACAACAATTAATCAGAGGCTCAGCGGTCGCTCGCTAGTAAAAAAACACGGTCACTTTAGAACCAACAGAGAGAGGGCGCGACCCTTTGACAGAGGTTGTGGGTTAAGGGATCTGTGGGAACGGTCACTGAGCTGGGCTGTGAGACTGAGTGGAGACTCTCGCCACAGTCTGTGTTCTCTCAGACACAGGAACCTCGGGAAGCCTCTCCATTTCTTGGGAGTCCTGTAGCGTATTGGTCTCCTCACAAGAGAGAGGACTTGGGTTCGCTTCCCGGGCAGGGCGAAACCCTCGGCAAGTTTCCTTACTCCACACTCCTCTGTTTATCTCGCAGTGAGTAGGAACCCGATTGTTAGTCGATTGGCGGATCGCTTTCTGAGGATAATAATCCCTTAAAAAGAAGAATTCATTTGGTCACTCACGACGGTTTGTGGAGACGCTGTTGTGCGCAATTGACTGCCACGTTTTGCCCACAAATACACAGTCAATTCACTTTCCTTATGTTCTGTGAAACGCTTTGAGACATCTCAGTGTCGTGATAAGGCGCTACATGAAGTGGAAGGATTATTATTATTTGGATTATTAATAACCCTAAGCCCACACCCCCCCCCCCCCACCACCTCCCCACTTGGCCCAATTTTGTTTGAAAATATCCAGAGACAGGAGGCTGAGTTTGCTAACTCTCAGCGTTTGCAGAATGTCTTTCAAGTGAAACAGTTTAATTGGATTCAAATGAGTTAGCATTTCCTCAGTCGTTAACACAACAGAGTGATGTGTTCAGCGGACCGCTGCCAAATTCTGCCATCAAGTTTATTCATTGAGATTCACCAACAGTGGAATGAATACCGGGCAGAAGTCCGCAGAGCAGGGGACCGAGTATAAAATTCTCAGCTTCAATCCCTTTTACTGCAAGAATATAATGTTGGGGAGGTAGGGTCGGGTAGGGGGGCATTTTAAAGATGAAATTAACAGTTGGAATAATGAGTTAACGAGTTTTTCGGAGATTGTATTTTTGGGGGCGAATTTGGCAGCCAATTTGTGCACAGCAATATCCCCACAAATAGCCACGAGACACCCTTCGATTTTCCTTTAACGTCAATTTGATCAGGCAGTTGGGACCGCGAGCTTATTAATAAAAAATAAATAATAATTTTTGTATTCAATACAGCACCTTATCACGTGCTGCCTCAATGTCTCGAAGCGCTTTGCAGGATTTTACCGTAACGTGTAGTGACTGTGTATTTGTCGGCAAGAGCGGCAGCCAGTTGGTGCACAGCGACGTCCCAGAAACAGGACAAGGTGGGAAAGCTGGGGCTTCGGAGAGAGGGAAAAGGGCGGAGAAAGCAACAAACAGGTGGAGGAGAAAGAAACAGGGAACACAAACAGGAAATGAAAAGAAGACGAGAGAGAATTGTGCTCACAGACACTTTCCTTAGTCCAACCTTCTTCTCATCAAACTGCGCAGCACGTGTGTTAGTCAAAGGAGGTGAAGGAAAACTGACGTTTGTTTTTAAGAGCCTTTGTTAACTCCTCTCTGCTCTCTATAATTTGAACAGTTCAAAAAATGCTGAGGGCTTAAGGTACCAAAGTCAGTGCTCTGAGCACTTGCCATCTGCTCACAGCGCTCTGTCAAACAAATGCACATCCTGACTCATCAACAGCCAAGACGTTCTGATGGTAATTCACTGCCAGACCCAGGGGCATGTCGCAGGGCGGAGATGAGAGCAGCCACGTCAGTCTACTTCACATCAAGGTTCCAACAACCAGCCCCCCCCATACTCTTAGGCTTAAGGCCACCATCTCTAAATGTAAGCAGGGGCTGGATTTCATCTCTGGAACACTCTCCCTCCATCCCTCCGCCTTGTCCCCCACTTCCCCATCTTCCGGTTGTGTCTGAAGACCTTCCTCTTCGACCAACAACCCCGTACCCACCCCCCCCTCCCCACCCCCATCCCGGCTCGGAGTCGTGCTCCACCACTGTGACTGCCTTCGCTCTGAGACACTACACTGCGTGAAGGGCGCTATATAAAGTTTTTGTTGAATTCTGGATAACCGTCTCAGTCGTAATTTGGAAGCTAATTCTCGAGTCCTTTTTGCGGGATCTCAGGTTGAATTTAAGACCCATTTCCCGCAGGAGTTTAAATTTGAGGGCTCTAGTTTTACGTCTAAGAACAGGGAGAATTGCCGTGCCCCACGTGTCTACTTCAAGAGAGGGGAAGTTTAGGTTTGCGCACATTTCATCTTAATAATTAATAGGTGTCGGTTACTCAAGTGTCATTACATGTCTCTAACACTAACACTGCACTGTACATCTCACCCTCATCTGATGTCGCTCTCTATTAAGGCTGAATGAACTCAAATGTGAAAGAGTCTGGAGAAGAAAAATGTTTCAATAAAATATAATTCGTTGCGGCTCTTAATCTGATCGCAACAGTCTGCCGAAAACAATAACTCTACTTCAAGAGAAAGGACACCTTCGGAGGCTGCTTCTTTCTAGGAGCACCGTCAAATCCACCGGTTGACCTGGGAGGAAAGCACCTCCTATTTTTATGGTTGAAGTTTTGCTATTCCCCCACCAATTTCTCCTCCTCCCCTCTTGTTCCCTCCGTTTACATCATACAAGCTGTAACTCTTAATAGGCCAATCCTCTCTTTTTTTTGGTCAGCCGGGTGTCTGTCACGTGCGGAAGCCCAGCACCGCGCTTAAGAGTATCCACACCAAACTGAGAATTCCATGCGCCGTTCCACCACACATGGAAACCCCAGAGAGGAATTGTTGGAATGTTCCAATGGCTCAGAGACCCACAGATACAGACATTAAGGTGCAACTTCGACTGGTTTTGACGGCACTGGAACAAGTGAAACAACAGGCAACGCAGCACATTGTGGGAAGACGAGAGGAGGGGGGGGTCTGACCCGGGCTCTTCCTAAACAGGATTCCTTAATTAGGCAAATGGAGGGCTGAATCCGGCTCCAGGCGCCAGGAACTCCACTCCGACACCATCCGACTGGAAATTTTAGCGTTGAGGAATCCGGGTACGGAATACCGCAGGTCAGCCCCCCCCCACCCCTGACCCCAGACCCCGCATCATCACGATTGTTCGCTTCGAAGAAACGACTTGTTCTTTGACCTCAGACACGGAGTTAACACTGTTGAGTTAAAGGCTTGTTCAAGTCAACAGCGATGTTTGTGCCTGTAGGTCTGAGAACAAGTCGTCATATCATCTCTCCAACTTTTATTTCCCATTCCCCCCCCAGCCTCTTCACCCCCCGCCACCCACCCCTCTCCCCACCCCCCACCCTCCCCTGTCTGTTACAGCAACACTAAACAGCCACATAAGCACATTGACAGATCGCTTGTTCCTAGAGAGAGGAACACCCCAATCTTCACAGAGATTCTTCACCAAACTCTGGATAAAAGTGGAAGAGACGATAGAGCAAGTACTATTGACAATGCTACACTACTGCCTAATGGTATCTCCCAGAACCTACCCTCTGCTTGTCAGGGTCCACAAACCTGATTCCGAAGTAGTCCTTTTCTAGCAGGTTCAGGTGATGGGAGATGAGGTCTAAGAGGTAATTACCTTTGGCATCCCTCTGTAAGAGAAGAACACAGGGCAAGAGAGTTTATTTTATTTGCTCTTAAGAGAAAACAACAGCTTCCAAACTCCACTGGCTGAGTGGCTGCTGACAAATATCAAGGTGATCGATTGAATGTCCCCGAGTGTCTCTTTGGAATCATCAAAGGTCTTTAAAGTGTTGGAGGTTGCGGGGAAAGTGCAGGGCTCTGCCCGAGCAACTTGGGTATTCCACACAAGGTCAACAACAACAACAAAAAGATTCCATTTATAGAGCGCCTTTCACGTCGGGAGGACGTCCCGACGTGAAAGGTCTTTGGAAAGGAAATGCTGTGAAGGAATACAGAGAGAAAGGTTGATTTTCCCCCTCATTCACCCAGAGTCTCCAGTGATGAGAAGTGACTGGACGATCAGGGGATGGGAAGGACTGCGGGAAAACAAATCAATGCAAATCTCGCGTTCAGGTCTGATCCACGCAGGGATGACGGTGTTCGGAACTGACAAAAAAATTAAGCGCTTGAGTTGTTTGACCTTTTCCCCAAAGTAAAGTGGTCTTGAGGGCTCCTGACAAGTCGTCCCTCTGTCACTTCGATGCGAGGCTGCGGGTAATTACACAGATGTGCTCGGACATGCACAGCTACAAACTCAGGGTAAAAATAGGCTGAGCTGGGCAGCACGCATCAACAGAATTTATCCCCGAGCCTTGAGCAAAACTTCCACTCTCCTTCACTCGCTCTCTTTCCCTCTCTCTGTAATTCTCGGTTTGGTTTGCATACTCTTAAAACTCTCTATCTTTCCCCCCCCCCACCCCTCTCTCTCCCTGTCTTCCTCTTCTCTCTCTCTCTCTCTCTCTCTCTCTCCCTACTTCTCTCTGCAAAACTGCTCACAATCGCTCCGATCTGCTGAGCTCTGTAACAAAGTTGTGAAAACCACCGCAAATAAAGCCTACGTTCAAAGCACCTTCGCTGCAACTCAACCGGACGTCAACAAAATAAGTTGCCAAGCGGCAAAACACTTTTTCTTCCCAAAATGTCACAGCTAATGAGGCACTCGTCAAAGCGCTTCACAGGGTACATTGCAAAGTGTAGCGACTGTGTATTTCGTGGGCGAAACCCGGCAGCCAATTGCGCACAGCAGCGACCCCACACAAACATTCCACAAAAAGCCCATCCGTGAACGTTGGGGCGGAACGGAGCGACCGACGGCCAGACGGGGTGGGGGGGCCGTGAAGGAGGATGGTGGTCTCTGAGCGGATATCGGCTTAAATACACAAGGTATAAAGTGCAGCCTGAAAGCTCTGTGGGTGTGAGGACAATCTCTGAACATCGCTGAGCGCTCTATTCCCCACCCCACCCCCCACCCCCCGACCCACTGGCCCACGTTAAGTGCCTTTCTGCTCAGATGTGTCTGTATGAAACGCCAGCAATTCAACCGTCCCAGCGAGTAAATTGCGTTGTGGTGCCTGGTTGATGGGAAATGACAGCCTGGCATTAACAAAGTCAAACCGCCTGTCAGTGCTCAGTGACTTTCACTGTCCCCTTCACCACACACCAACGTAAGGCACATGGACCAAAACCTCTGCCGCCTTTAGCGTGAAGACAAACATCCAGTCGCTGACATCTCCTCTTTGTGCCAACACAACACATCAGGAGTTAAACACCGACAAGTCTTTGGGGGGAAACTAAAAGTGAAATTCGCTCATAAACAACTCAATCACTGACCTCCGAAACCCCCACCAAGTCTTAGCCTGTCAGGGCCATTCTCGCTTTGAAATTGAACAAAGCCAGCTATTTTTTTAACAGCTGTGTGACAAGCACAAGCCTCCCACAAAGCCACGGTTTAGAGCAATTTTAATAATAATAATCATCCTTGCATTTGACATAGCACTTTATCACGGCGTTGAGACGTCTGAAAGCACTTCACAGGATACGCTGTAAAGTGGATTGACAGTGTGTTTTGTGGGCAAAATGCAGCAGCCAATTACGCACAGTATTGTCCCACAAACAAAGGCACTTTTTGAAGCAAAAGTAGTCTAACAGGCTGAAGCCGGGTGGAATTGGAGGCTCTGGTCAGGTGCTGACAGAAGGTTCAGTCTCTTGCGAGGGCATATATGTGTGTACGTGTGTGTGTGTGTGGAGGGCGGGTGTTTGTGTGAGCATTCGTAAGTGTATGTGTATTAGGGGGAAAACGTGTGTGTGCGTGTGTGTATGCCACTTGAACCCCTGAACAGCCAGGAGCATTGCGTACTGTTCTGTTGTGAGGGTTGTGAGGGTTGTCAGATGGAGAGAGCCTATTTGATTCCTGTATGAACCTCGGGTTCTGGTTGCTTGAAATCCCATTAATCCGGCATTTATCTCAATGTGACCAAGTGTGAGTGTGGTCAGTCCTCAAATCATTTCCAATTGCTTTCAACCCTGCTTTAGGTTTAATCCGATGTAAATGCCTCCTTGCTGGTGGCTGCTGATAATGATAATCTCTTGCCTTATTCGCCTTCTAGACATCGCTTCCGCTTCCCGTTTTCATCACATCTTCCCCGTAAGATTGAATATCAGATGAGAGGCTTCTTGTTAACGGAATTAAATAACTTTATTAAAGTAACTGCATGGATTAGGTGAGGATTCAGCACAGAGCTTGCTCTCACTGTTTGTGAATCTCTTTCCCTCTGACAGCGACAGAGCTCAGCCGAGAGACTTGGCAATAAAATGAGAACTGGCTAGTGTCACTCGATTGGCTTTCCGGGGGTAATAATCCCTCAAAAAAAAAAGTGGTCACTCAATCCACGACTGTTTGTGGGACCCTCGCTGCTGTGTGCAATCGGCTGCCGCGTTTCGCCCACAAAATGCACAGTCACTCCACCTCACAGTGAAGCGCTTTGAGACGTCTCAGTGACGTGATAAGGCGCTGTATCAAATGCAAGGATTATTATTATTATTATTATTATTATTGCAAAGGATTATTAATACCACCACCTGAGCCGCTGCGACGATTCCTCTTTCTAAAAAGCAGACGCCAATGGGTTAAGAGGTTCAGGTTCCAGGATCTGCAGAGCAGCCACACACGGACTCGAGAACCGTTTAATTTAACCCAACTGATTGCATTGTGAGCGGAGCCACACTCCATAAAACCTTACTCCATAATATGCGCCTGTGATTCATGTTCGTATGGTGTCTGGAAGCACTTCTGCACACAATGGCTCAGTGGGAACCCGGAACACTTTCCCTCCCTTCAAAGGCTGTGGGTTATGGCTGAATCCATTCACATTTTTAAGGCTGAGTTGGGGAGACGTTTGTTGGGTCTCAGGGGATCAAGGGATGTGGGGCAAAGGCGGGTAATTGGAGTTGAGGTACAGATCAGCCGTGATCTAATAGAATGGTGGAACAGGCTCGAGGGGCTGAATGGACTCCTCCTGCTCCTAATTTCCCCTCATCCCACTGCGATTGCACGCGCTAACTGCTCACAACTCTCGCCCGCACAATGCACAGTCACTGCACTGAACAGAATATCCCGTGAAGCGCTTTGAGACGTCTCAACGACTTGATAAGGCGCTCTGTCAAATGCAAGGACTATTATTATTATTATTATTATTAACTGATGAGTGCCTTTCCCACTCCGCCAATAACCGTGCTGTAGCCGAGCTCGCGCTCTCACTGACAGCCCGGGGCGTTTCAGAAAACATTCCCGACAGTCAATGAAGGGAGAGAAAGCCTGTGATTGACTCTCACGCCTCATCCCACGTGTGATGCACTTGACTTTTGCCCTCTCGGACTCGGAGGTCCTTCTGAAACCTTGATTTAATTACAGATTCATGACTTTGTGACCTTTCAACAATCCCTCAGTGAATCCCCTCTCATTCACCCAACTGCTCTCTGGCAATAATGGGTAGATGGTAGGGATTGCCCTTAGAGCAAGAGAGAGAGAGAGAAAGAAAGAGAGAGCGAAGGGTGCAATTTGACCCTTCACTCACCGTGTCAGAAACAGTAATAGGCCAAGCCCCACACGTTACTAAGTCTCGCCCAGTGCAATGCTAAGTCAACTGAGTTCAGATCCCTATGGGTTGGGATGAAATTATTGCATTATTGTTATTATTATGTGTTATATTATTCAGAATTAGTGCTAGATAGTAGGAATATTGCAGATCTCACACACACACACACACAGACATGCGCAGGCGCACACAGACACACACATATACAAACAGGCTCACCTACACGCGCTCACACGCACACAACACCTGTGGCTGTTCAAGCGGATGTTAAAGATCGCGTGAAAAAGAGAGCGGAGTTTCTCTCTCCTGTGCCAACAATCCACTCAGATAAAATTGGTCATTCACTTCATGGCTGTATGGGAGAAAATTGCTCTGCGCAAATTGGCTGCCAGGTTTGCCTACAAAGCGCGCAGTCATCGCACTTCTCAGCAAATCCTGTGCTTTGAGAAGTCCTCCTGTCGTGAAAGGCTCTGAACCCGATGAAAGGATTATTATTAATTATTATTAATAATTATTATTATTGTTATTATAATTGAGACGTGCTCCCGCCGTGAAAGGCGCTATACAAATGTAATCTTGTTGTTGTTGTTGTTGTTGTTGCTGTCATCAGGGGCTTGAAGGTCGGAACACAGATTCGGGGAAGTCAAAACCAATTCCCACATCTTGGCCTTGGGTTCACCTTCACCCAGACACAGGGCTCAATGCCAGGCAAACGCGGCTAAAATACACAGCAGAGCTTCGCCCTATCGCGTCAGATTGTGTAAAGGGGGAACAAACAACAATAACAACAAGATTCCATTTATAGAGCGCCTTTCACGTCGGGAGGACGTGAAACAGCGACTGTCACTCACAGTCCCTCTGTGCTGTCAGCTCAAATAAAGACAACTCTCGCTGTTCTTATAATACACCACACCCCCAATACACACCGCCCACACACCCACCCACACCCCAACACACACACCCACCCACACCCCCAACACACACACCCACCCACACCCCCAACACACACCCCACCCACACCCCCAACACACACA